ATGAGAGTTCATTAGGGTATACTTTTGTGGACTTTCTTTCTCGTAATCATCTACATCAAGCTAATCATGTTGTAAACAAAACGCAAAGAATATTAGATCTGGTACTTAGTAACATCACTAGTGTCAATGTCAATATCATAGAATCTGTCAATATCCTGAGCAAACTTGACGGTTTTCACCCTGCGCTTGAAATTGTTGTTGCGCATAAGGCAACACCAGTTCTTGAAAGTAGACTATATGCAACACATAATTTCAACCGTGCAGATTATGCTCTTCTTAATAAAAAGTTGGCTCAGGTGAATTGGCAGTTGTGTTTAAGTGGTGAAGATGTCAATGTCATGATGAGTAGTTTCTATTCTATTATAAGAGAAATAATTGAATCCCATGTTCCAAAAATTAAAGTCCGTAATAAGAAATATCCGCCATGGTTCTCAGGTACTTTGATTAAATTAAAACTCGAACGCGACAAAATACAATCACGTTGTAAAAAGCATGCAAACCCAAGAGATCTTGTGGAACTAAAATGCGCCAGTAGAAGAGTTGAAAAACTTATGAAAAAATGCCATCATGAGTATCTAAATAATATCCAAAATAAAATAACCCGTAATTCCAAAAGTATATGGACATACGTCAAAAATTTGCGTGGTGGTAGTTCTGAAATTCCCAAAGAACTTCACTTAAATTCTGAGACTGCAAAATCCGGTGACGCAATATGCAATCTGTTTGCGAAACACTTTTCCAGTGTTTACTCTCATAGCAACCGCGGGCAAACAACGGAAAACGCTGTATCTTGTGACATGTACCCGCAGCTCTCTTTGGGTAGCATCAGTATTACAGAACGTATGATAGTGAAAATTATCTCAAGGCTAGATATAAGTAAGGGTGCAGGCCCAGATGGAATTCCTCCTATTTTCATTCAGAAAACCTGTAAATATATCGCGCTGCCTCTAAAGATAATTTTTTCAGTTTCTCTCAATACTTATGTTTTTCCGGATGCACTGAAAGAAACTAACACAGTTCCAATTTTCAAAAAAGGTGAGAAATATGATATTATTAACTACAGACCTGTGTCAATTTTAAATACTTTTAGCAAGATATTTGAAAAAATCCTTTGTCCTATCTTAAATTCCCACTGCAAAACGTTCCTCAGCGAGAGTCAACATGGCTTTTGTCCAAAAAAAAAGTACGGTGACTAACCTTATATGTTACACGAATCAGTTAAGCAAACAAATCGACTCCGGTGGTGAGGTGGACTCTATTTACACAGACTTCAGCAGCGCGTTCTACAAGGTGGACCATAATATTTTAATCCACAAGTTAAAACGGTACGGCATTCATGGACCCCTGCTTTTGTGGTTTAAATCGTATTTAAAGCATCGGGTGCTGAGGGTCGTTATTAACGGTTATACATCCAGATCTTTCACGGCAACTTCAGGAGTTCCTCAGGGCTCTATTCTGGGTCCTGTGCTCTTTCTAATTTTTGTTAATGACATACCTGAAATAGTTAAACATAGCAAATGCTCGATATTTGCTGATGATTTGAAATTTTATCGGCCAATTAAGAGTCAAGATGATGTAAATTTATTGCAGAATGATCTGAATGCTATACAAGAATGGTGCCATTCCAATAAAATGGTACTCAATGCGGATAAATGTTTTGTAATTAAGTTTACTAAAAATAAAATTATTCACACACTTACATACTCAATTGACTCCAAGCAACTATCTCAGGTCAAAGCCGTTCGTGATATGGGTGTCATACTGGATGAAAAACTCACTTTTAAACCACGTTGACGTTATTATTAATAAAGCGTGGAGAATGTTGGGTTTTTTGAAAAGGATTTGCAGGGATTTTCATAATTCAACTGCAATTTTGTGCTTGTACAGTTCTCTCGTTCGTACTGTTTTTGAATATGCCTCTTGCATATGGAATCCACAGTACAAAATTCATAAAGAAAGAACAGAACGAATCCAGCGCCAGTTCACAAAATTTTTGGCATTGAAAAGTCCTAACTGTCCCTATCGCGCAAATTATGAAAATCGTCTGAAACATTTAAAAATTGACACTCTGGAGAAACGAAGAAAATGTGCCGACATCTTGTTGCTTCATAAGTTGGTTAATGGAAATATTAATGTACCCGATATACTTGCTGAAATTAATTTCACAGTTCCAAGAAGAATTCCACGTTATCCAATCTTGCCAAACCGTTTTTCCGAACCAAGATAGTGGCACCCCTAAGTCGATTGATGGAGACGTGTAACGATAAATCCGATGACATTGATATCTGTCACCTATCTTTCTCAGCATTGAAAAAGAAAATATTCTCGATTGAGTAACAAATACCTCTACGAGTAACAATTAACTTACCTCATGTAAATATTTGAAGAATAACTTTAGAGACTAGTATTGTGCCAAAAATTTAATAGAAATTGCTGTATGCACCTTAAAAAATAATTCACATAGACTTGTTATACCCATTTGTTTTTCTTTTTATGTAATAATTGTGATATTGTTATTGGTGTGTCTAATAAAATATAAAAATAAAAATAAAACTACGTACCGAGAATGAGCATTCTAGCATAATAATAGAAACAGTACCTTTGAACAAGATTAGCTTTTCTGCCTTGCAAAGGACATGGCTAAGAAACTGCCATTAACGTGTATAATTATTAGCCGGTAACACCATATTTTTTTTCTATGAATTATCACACGTTTATTATTCTCATACAACTTTCGTGAAATAATCAAGTATTTAAAAGTATGAAAATTTACTTCATATCTGTTTCAAAAGGAAAAAGTTTCGTTTTACAAAAAATTATGAACAATAAATGTACACAAAGAATATTTGTGTAGATATATTGAAATAAACAAAATGAATACCAAACTCCCTAAAACTATGACAAACATATTTGGCCCTAATTTTTATTATAACAAATCACTGAATGCCTAAAATAGAAGTTATTATTATTCTGATCATGCTTGAGACAAGGCTGTATGATAATTAATCCTTTGATTTTTGCAAATAAACAGAATAAAGTTCACAGATTTTCTGTCAGGCCGATGACAGCCAATTACCGTGCATGCCATAAAAAAGAAGAAGACAACAAATTATTTATTAGTATTTATTATTGCATTAAAACACTTTTTGTGAAGTGTTAATCAGAGAAATGGGGGGGAGGATCCTAAGAAAACGCGCAATTGATGGCTCTGTAAAAATTGGCAACATCTTTTATCAAATGTATCAAGGTAATGACATAGTAAGAGTACTTATAATTTTCAAGATTGTAATTTTATCAGAAGTTCCTTAAATATTACTAAGTACAATATTTATCCATTGCTAGGCAGTCGCTCATACAAAATTTTACTATGTCCTTTGCTCCTCTCCTTTTCAACTCTGTTTTCAGCCGTATTACAGACCATGTTGAATACATTTTCACTACTTATTTAATATATTTAACAACAAAGAAACGCGTTTAAAATTTTACAGCTGCAATATACGGGTGTAGCGTCAGCGCCACCCATGTTGAGCTTTGCGTGTACTTCTCCATTGGAGAGACACCGGAATCGTGATATACATTATCACGATTAGATTTATACGATCGAAAAGCTAAAACTACTTTTCGGCATATACTTACTTTCCTGAAGCGGAAAGTGGATTAATTTTCCCCCTTCTCCCTTACGCTTAATAATTTCTGGAATTACTCGTATAGGCGTCTACCGTGTTGTTATTTCGGAGACTTTATCCTACAAACAACTTATTTAGGTTCCCTGACACTTCATCTCAGTGAATTGGTAAACATCCAAATCCGTACAGCCGTTTTTCCGTGATGGTGTAACAAACATACAAACTTTCACATTTATAATATTAATAGGATAGTATAAAAAACATCTAGATTGTAGATGAATGTTTCTGTAAAGTCGTAATAACCCCACGTGGAAAGGAATTAGCTTTCAAGGCAAAGGTATCGCATTATTTCTGGTATCAAATTTATTGAAAATAAAAGTTTACTGCTTAATCTATTACGTATACTGTAAAACCAAACAATAAATAGATAAACCATAAATAGGTCGTAGTGATATTATATTGTATTTTAGATGTCGATCAATCATTGTGAATCTCGGTACAATTTATATCAACAGTTTTTATAGGATTTAGTCATTGACCTCAGTTTAGTAAATATACATCTTGAATTTCGAACTTTCCTAAAAACCTGATGTGTGATAAATGTTGTTTAATTTAAAGCACATACACGGAGATCATCTTGGCAACATTGGTATTTGTTCAGATAAGGTACGCCATGGTGGCTTTTCCACGCGGAATGCACAAGCAAAAGCCCGTCAAATCCCGCAGATATACAAGTTTCGAAACTTGGGCTCCACGGGGTATGAGACGTCGTCAGAATAAGGCAGTTGCCCTACCGCCGCCGCGGCGAAGAAGCGACTATCTATCGAATATTTTCTCGCTCAAGAAACGTACAATAGATAAACATTCCCTGTTAACAAAAGAGATGCATATACACAATATATTAATAGTTGAGCACTGACTATAGACATTGCCGGCGAGAAATTTCTCCAGTAGTTTATCGCTGAGCGAAAAGGACTATCAAAGATAATATTCGCTGAGCGTTACTGACTCAGCAATGCTCGCTTGTCTCCAAACGCGCGCGCGTGAATTTTTTGCTTAGGATGGTCCCCGCGGGCGATTGGCGCTAGTAATCGCCCTAAGTACTCGCACACTCGCTTAAAATTTAGCGATAAAACTATCGGAACTACACACTCGCTTCCTGCTGCACGCCAACACGTTTCTAATTTATAGCTCTACTCGCTTCAGCTTCTACAGTTTATGAGACTATCATTATGGTATTTATTATTATTTTTATTTTTATAAAAGCCACTGTTTTTTTTTTAGTTTTTTTTTTTATTTATTTATGCACGTACACTGAAACCCTAAAATAACAGGATAAAAAACAATGCTAACAGTATCATGATTTTGTTCCAGTTCAGGAGCATTGTGAACAGCATCTATGTGAGCGGCTACTCGGTGTCTGTGGCAGCACTGCTTTTATCCATTGCTATTTTCCTTTACTTCAGGTTAGTACCGTTTGTATTTTTTTTTAATATTTATTACAATTTCATACTATTATTTTCTTCGCAGGAAACGCGTAACGTCTTTCTCGCCACCGGGAGTAAGAATCAGTATATGTGAGGACTCCATGCCCGCCTAAGGCCTCAACCCCATAGGCGCGTTTTCATCGGTCGATAATATAGGATGCGTTATTGCGATAATGCGCCCTACTTCTATTACGTCGTTATTGTCGCAGCAGTGTGAAACTTCGTAGCCGATTTAATACATAATTTACTAAAATACATAGATATCGTTAGAACGCATTTGATATTATCGACCGATAATAATTACGCGTTTATGCGCTTAATGAACCCAGTTCGGAGACTCAGTGAAAAAGTATCTTTTCATAACCACATACAACAGACAATACTCCTTCACCAGCCACCTGACTTGCATTATGAGGACCGAGGTCCCCAGATTGTGTGCCAAGAGTGTAGGTGTGAGAGAACCTTACGGACGATTATTTATTTTTTTTCACAAAAAGACCCTTGCGTATATTTTATGTATGTTGTACCAATTACAGCAGGACCTCTTTAATTCGAACACCGAAAATTTACATTTTAATTTAAAAATTAGAACTCCCGCGTACTATTTTCCCATATGTCCGGCCTCTCGGTAACCTCAGTTATTCGGGGGACTTTTTGTACGTACAACTTTTAATTCCTCGCGTGCATTACTCGATGCAGGTGTAAGTAATCTATTTTCGCAAACAAAAAAGTCCGCGGAGAAAAGTCCTTCGTCTGCGCAGGTCATAATTCTTCTATTGGGTGCGGTAGTCGCTCAACGGGGATCACGCGGTTCCGTACTTAACAGCGTAGAGGGTATTCGCAGAATTTAGCGGATAGTATGCCGCAAGCGCTGGTAAGCCGCGCGGACTGCTTAACGGCTCTTCCGTTTCGCACCCGTGAGACTTGAGAGAGGCTAGGTGTGAGGTCCGTTCGTTGGTGTGCCCCTTAAGGGCCCCTACGTCTGTAAACAGAAGTTTTGAGTGCGTAATAAAAAAAGGTCATAATTCTTCCGTATTGTAAGACTAGGTAAACAAAAGCATAGACTACTTGACCAGCAGTATGATAAAAATATAATGATGCAAATAACATTCCCGAACTGTAAAATTATATTCACATCTTTGAGTACTAGCTGTAAGACTTTACAATTTCTACAAGAACGAGAGAAGCTTTTTTTATATTAGGTGTATGTATTCATTTCGCTCTCAGTCTAACAAAGGCGATTAAATAGTAAACATCATCATCATCGTTTCAGCCGAAAGACGTCCACTGTTGGACATAGGCCTCCCCCATGGATTTCCACAACGATCGGTCCCATGCTGCCCGCATCCAGCGGCTTCCCGCGACCTTTACCAGATCGTCGGTCCACCTTGTGGGGGGCCTGCCAACACTGCGTTTCCCGGTACGCGGTCGCCACTCGAGGACCTTTCCGCCCCAACGGCCATCGGTCCTGCGAGCAATGTGCCCTGCCCATTGCCACTTAAGGTTTGCAATTCTGTGGGCTATGTCGGTGACTTTAGTTCTCTTGCGTATCTCCTCATTTCTGATTCGATCACGCAGAGAAACTCCGAGCATAGCCCTCTCCATTGCCCTTTGGGTGACTTTGAGCCTTCTTACAAGACCCATTGTAAGCGGCCACGTCTCGGTTCCGTATGTCATCACTGGCAACACGCACGAATTGAAGACTTTCGTCTTGAGGCACTGCGGTAGATGTTCCGAGAAGATGCTACGTAGCTTCCCGAACGCTGCCCAGCCGAGTTGGATTCGTCGATTAACCTCTTTCTGGAAGTTGAACTATTTGTCCCAGGTATACGTACTGGTCAACAACTTCCAGTGTAGAGCTCCCAACAGTCACTGGAGTGGGTACGACATGGGAATTCGACATGATTTTCGTCTTGTCCATGTTCATTTTGAGACCCACTTGTTGGGACGCCCTACTGAGGTCGCCGAGCCTTGTGCCAAGGTCATCCATGGTCTCAGCCATGACTACGATATCATCTGCAAATCGAAGGTGCGTCATCTACTCGCCGTTTATGTTGATGCCAAGTCCGCTCCAGTCCAAAAGTTTGAAAACGTCTTCCAGCGCAGCTGTAAACAGTTTTGGTGATATAACGTCACCCTGTCTTACACCACGCTGCAGCTGGATTGGCTTCGTGTTTTGGTCCTGGAGTCGAACTGACATAGTGGCGTTTTCATACAACGACTGCAACACCTCGATGTATCGATAGTCTATTTGGCACCTTTGGAGTGACCGAAGCACGGCCCATGTCTCGATCGAATCGAAGGCTTTCTCGTAGTCCACAAACGCCAAGCATAATGGCAGGTTATACTCTTCGGTCTTTTGTATAACCTGCCGCAGCGTATGGATGTGGTCTACGGTACTAAACCCTTTTCGGAATCCGGCTTGTTCGGGAGGCTGGAAGTCGTCAAACCTGCGCGCGAGACGATTCGTGAGGACTCTCGAAAACAGCTTGTATACATGACTCAGGAGCGTGATGGGTCTGTAATTCTTCAATTGGGCCCTGTCGCCCTTCTTGAAGAAAAGCGCCACCACTCCCCTATGCCATGCGCTAGGCGTTTTGCCCTCGAGTATGACAAAGTTAAATAGCTTCTGAAGAGATTTCAAGACTGGTCGTCCACCTGCTTTCAGAAGTTCGGCTGTAACTCCGTCATCACCCGGCGCCTTTTTGTTTTTGAGCTGTTTCAGAGCTACACTAATCTCGTACAGGCTGACGTCCGGGATATCTTCGGTGTAGTGTCGGGTTAATTTGGCTCTTGGGTCGGTCGCCTTTGTGACAGGTACTCGTGATGTCGCGTATAGCTGTCCGTAGAAGCTTTCGATCTCAGCCATAAGCTCAGGTTGCGACGAAATGATTCTGCCGTCCTCTGTCTTCAGCTTCGTCAGCAAACTCTGTCCAAGAGACAGATTTCTTGCGAACACTTTCGAGCCTTTGTTCCGCTCGATGGCCTCTTTAATACGATCAGTATTAAAGCGGCGTATGTCGCGAGTCAGAGACTTCGAAATCTGCCTATTGAGCTGCCGACGTGCATCTTCAGAGGACTGCAGACCCATCTCACGCCTTTTCTCCATGAGCTTGAGAGTCGGCTCCGAGATCTTGCTACGTTTTTTGGTACGGTTGGGCTTGCAGAACTTCGAGCCCACCGTAAGGACAGCTTCGACAAACCTGTCATTATAATTGTCCACGTCTACGCAGCTCTCTAGACAATCGAAGCGATTTTGCAGTTCGAGTTGAAAGCGCTCGGGGTTTTGGATCTGGATGGCTTCAGGACGGAGCGTGGACTTCATCAGTCGATTCCTTTCGGCTTTGACATTTAGATTCAATGTGCCTCTTACCATTCGGTGATCGCTTTCCGTATTGAACGAATTGATCACTGAGACATCATTGAATATCCGAGTCTTAGTCGACATGATGAAGTCAATCGCATTTTTTGTCACGCCATCCGGACTTTTCCAGGTCCATTTTCGATGCAGCCGTTTTCTGAAGAAGGAGTTCATCATAAAGAGTCCCTCCTTCTCCATGTAATCGGCTAGCATTTGACCTCGGAAGTTCCGGATTCCAACTCCAAATTGCCCCACTTTCAACTCATCATCGCCACGTTTGCCCAGCCTTGCGTTGAAGTCCCCCATGACAAGGGTGTAATGGGTCCTGGAAACATGCATTGCCCGAGAAATATCCTCATACATGACTTCCACTTCCTCGTCGGGGTGCGTCGAGGTCGGAGCGTATACCTGTATGACCTTCAACGAATACCGTTTGGTGATTCTGAGTATAAGGTACGCCACCCTATTCGACACACTACCGATCTGTACAACATTGTTCACGAGAGACTTGTGGACAACAAACCCGACACCACCCTGGGACAGATCTTCGCCCTCCCGGAAATAGAGCAGGTTGCCGGATTTAAGGACCATCGTGTCCTCGCCCTCTCTTCGGACTTCAGATAGTCCTACAATACGCCAGCGAATCCTGCTCAATTCTTCCTCCAGTTCCAGCAGCTTCTCCTCGGTCCGTAGTGTGCGTGCGTTGTACGTTGCCAGGGCCAAGGTCGTTTGACGGGGGATTTTTGCCGCCCGGGGATTCTTCACACCCCTGGTCCCGGCGCCGAGTCGGCGTCCGTCAGCGCCGCCACGGACTCCAGCATCGCCGGGCACTTGGGGCCTCTTATTATGTACCATCATTTTAGGGGGGTTTTGGGCCGTCTCCCACCACGCTTTCCCAGTGCGGGTTGGTGGGGAGCGCCAGAGCCTCATCCGTTCGTCGGCAGGGTACACCGCGGGCAGGTGAGGTTGGCTTGGGTGCCGTTGGGTGTTAGGCGGCACCCTTTATACCCCTATAAATAGTAAACAGACATTCATAAATCATAACTTCACAGCCATAAAGAAGCAATGGTGAAGTTTCTCCTTTGAAATTTTATATTTCAAGAGGGCATTATGATTTAGCAGTTAGTACACCCTCGTATTGCCTTTCCCGAGTTTCAGCAGATTTTTTAAGTGAGAAAATTTTCGCTTTGCTGATTAATGTCAAGTTAAATTGAAATAAGAATGAAACATGCTCCGCTCCTGGATAGTAAGTAAACTTTGTTACCTTTGAAGAAATTGAGGCTCATCAAATTACTCCCTCCATGTAAAATGTAAGTGGAGTTTCGTTGAGAAGATGGCTGATGTAACGAAGAAAAATGCTATTCCTGTCTGTCACTGCCGAACATTTTCCCAGATACCACTCACAAATTATTACGTAAGTCACCCCAACCTACATCTTCTATAACGTGAAAATTACTTCCCTAGACTCGCACTTCAATTTGAGCGCCAGCCCGCCGTGCTCTGCATCTTCTCTCTTGTGTCAAAGTTCGGATATTCAGCACTGCTATTCTGAGTACAAACTCACTTTTCACCGCAGATTCCGCAATGTGATCTGAAATTGGAATACGAATTTCAATTAATATGAAATCACGCGGATTTCGCGGTAAAAAGTGAGTTTGTTCTTACAGAATAGCACTGCAGCTAAATTCAACAAACAAACGGACACATTAGCGTAATATTACATCAATATTTAAAAAAACATACTCAAAGGAAAAAATTTAAAGGCATCCATGACATTGATGAAACAAAATGCTCAGTTAAGGAAAACAGTAGAAGGCAAATTAATGATACAATTTCACGTTGAAAGAGCAAATCATATACATCGTTGCTTTAAGCTGTATTTTATATACAACAGTGTAATTTTCTCTTGAAGATTTCCCTAATATTACACAGCTTTATAAAATATCCCTAGCAAGATCGGTAGAACATCAAACAAATAGTTTAATTCCAATAACATAAACTACAAGAACTATTTCTTTGATGTACACTTACTGATCCTTTCCGATTTATCAGTAGTTCTAAGTGAAAATCCTTTTATGATTGGATAAGTTCAGATCAGGAAGTGTAGATAGCGTTTACCTCGATACACGCTTTTCATTATACATAGTGTATGTATCTCGTATATTTGTTTTTGGTAGTGGAGGTCTTATTTTTCTGATTGCTTCTTTATGGTATTCATAATTTGAGCGTGAATAAAGTCCCTATGGATAAAATATTTTTTCTAGGAATTTCTCCATACATTGTGGTAAATGGAAGGAACGATCACAACATTTTTCATTTTCACCATTAGTAAAGTCCGTGGGAATCTCTAGTTTAGTTTTATCCTCACGTGACTTAACATAGTTTTCACTTTTTCTAGCGACTTGTCAATTTTACTATCTATTAACAAAATTAGTCCTGGAAAGATAATTTTATTTTATATTTATTTATTTCATCATCAACACAATAACCATTGACACAACAATCATAATTAATATAAACAATTAAGCTTAATTCTATTTATTGCAATAATTATAGGTAAAGACCACGTGCGTTATAGAAGCAACAATACTAATAAACTGCCTAAGAAAAAAGCCTAAGAAAGATTTAAAAAATCATTCATAAAACAAAGTCTCAATTCAAAATAATACATACTCTAGACGAAGTTTATTCTTCTTCCATGAAAGTAGTCTTCAGTTTAAATTTTCTTCATTCATCAACAGCATTAAAATTTCCTTTTGCTACTTGTCACATCAGTCTTACACAGATATTATATTGTTCTTTTGTATCCCTTACATTACATACAAATACATATTTTGTCTACGTATGAGGCAACGAAGGACACGGCGGCAGCGGCATAAAGCAACTGGCACATTTCCAAAATAGTTTTTACCGAAAGTGACTGGAGAAAACGCCTGTGTGTTTGACAGTATATTTATTAATCATTTGAAGTAGTTCCACGCGCCCACATATCGCGAACTATGGATTATCAGTTCAACTCATTCATCATCATCAACCGTTTAACCTATTTCAATACGAAGAGGTTCTCAATTGGTCTTTGCCAAATCGATGCTTTTTTTTGTAATGTTGCATATTTCTTAGACCAATTTTAATGATACCTTTTTTTTGACAGTTTTTTGGTGTTAATCCCATATTAATTTACTCTACTATCTGATAAATACTGTAGCAGTCAAAAAATGGTATTCCTCATTTGTAAACGCTGCACCAAACGAAACAGGTGATTTATTCAAAAAAAATATTTAAAGTATATTAATAATACAAGTCATAAATAGCTATAAAAACTTCACAGAAAATATCAGATGAGACACCTGACGTCAAAATAATAATTTTGAGCTTATTTTTCCTTTAGTTTATCTATAATAAAGAACACTATTCGGCTTAGAGTCCAAACATAACAATCTACACATATAAATAAAATTGGAGTGTCTGTTTGTAATATTCTAATAACCGCTTTTTACTACATGCATATGAATTTTCACAAGTTCACTCGATCCATTTTTCAGGCGGGCGATGCGATCCTGTATATTTTTTGTAGGACTGATATAATCGCCACAGGTATGAAATAAAGAGAACATTCTTTAGTACTGCAACGATGCGTAGAAAATCCTTCTAAAACAATTACAAAAACATTCTGTAATCATCCCGAGCTCCTAATGGATCAGAGTAAATCCTCCGGCTATAATCTACTTATTTTTTCATTTATAATCCAAAAGTGTTTCGGTGTGAATATTTAACAAATCAACATTAACCATATCATTTCGCTTCATTAATAAGTATTAGAGTGATTTCCAACTCCACAAAGCAAATGTACACCTACCTAATTTTAATACACCTTTCTTAATTTAAAACGTCTTACTGATATTCCTGTTCGCTTCCGTATCTTAATAAGATTTCTGGAGAGATTCTGTATAACGTTTGAATTTCACACGAGAAGAGAAATCGTTGGAGCTTAAAATACCTTGCATGTTTTCGATTATCAAATGTTAGTAAGTTGAGAATATTCAACAAAATTTGCAATATTACGGCCAGTTTCACATTCACGCTTATAAACTACTAAATACCTAACATTTAAAGGTTGCTGTCTATTTTCCTTTCAGATTATTTTATCCAAAATCTATGAAACTAAAATTATTTAAATATTATTTAAATTTAGTTAATCTGAAATTCAAAGTTCTGACTAGGCTGTCAGAGATTACGGACTTTATCAGAAAACCATGAATCTGGATTATTTTTGTCAACTACAACCATTACAATTCAATTCGAATAATATAATTTCTTTATTCTACACCTTTCTGCTCGAACTGGTTGAACTGTTAATCCCAAAATTACCTAGTTATAATAGTTTTTAAAACTGCCTTGTTTCAACTAAACTATTCTTACTATAAGTGTATCTACGCGATACAATTAGTTAAATTTGGTGCATTATTAGTTACATAACAACCCTTTAAACCAGGGTTGGATATTGTGTCCTAAAATAAAGCATATCTCGTAAAAAAGTGTTTCATGGGTATATTTTTCCTTTAAGGTCACTGCAGTGCACGAGGATAAGGATACACGTACACCTATTCTCAGCGTTTGCTCTCAACAATATTCTGTGGATAGTGTGGTACAAGAGTGTCGTGGACAGAGTCAGTGTTGTCCAAAACAATGAGGTAAGGAAAACCAATGTTTACACGAGTATAAGTAAGTAGAAACAAAAAAATACACGTTGGTGTATCTATCTAAAGTCACCGACAGCCAGTGAATATAAATTATGTAAACGAATATCTTCTAAAGACAATAATTTTCAATTACGAGTTCACCAAATCCAATATTCTAACACTCACAAACTTAGGTAATGCAAACTAACGAGCAATTTCAATTAGGTATGCTGTAGTTCGGTAGTCAATATTTGGGTCGAAATTTAACAGTAACTTAAGTTAATTGCTGTTTTCGCGTATTAGGAATTTTTTATTGAATCTTAATGTTTTTGATTTTATAAGTACAATGGCAATGCGACGCGTCTGAAAATCAGCATATCCGTGGTGCTACCACCATTATATCTGAATAAAAGCTAGGCGTTCCGAAGTGACATTATCAATGCAGTGCTAGACGAGAAGAATATGCCACTTATTTCCGAGAATACTTGTCCTCAGTAACGATATATTCTTGAAACCATTACAATGCCAAGGTCATGCCACATGGAATTTATCAGTCCGTCGTTGATACGATAGTCGAAGAAACTTCTTTCTTTATTTTGAGCCTCTGTTTTACAAGGGCAACTGCAAGTCCTATTTTCTCTGACAGTCCCTGTCATTTTTATACATATTTCTCTTGGTCAGCTCAGCAATAAATGGCAACCCAGAACCACACTGGTTTAGTTCAGTTGATGCACTTTGGTTTGGTTCTAACCACACTATATATTCGATGAAGCACTTGCCCAAAGTTTGAAGCCATATCTTATTGGCTTACCACGGATAAATGGTTTGCATCGTCTTCTAAAAGCGTAACGATATCGTACAAAGATGGGAAATTAAACTGACCAAATAGGTAATTCTGTTTCGTGTATATAACTTATACTGTTACACAGACGATACACCATATTTTACGAAATATAAAAGTACAGAATTTTAAATAATATAATGAAAATAATACACTTGATTTACTGTCTGACTTTTTTTACTGTATAAAATAATTAATTCTTACCATTTTGATGACATCTTGCAACAGCGAAAAACGAGTCCTTATCAAAATACTTATGCAGACACCTAGTCAAGCTGAGTATAACAACTAATCTGCTCTGGGAGTATTATTTACACCTTACATTTGACACTGGCATCAAAAATAAACAAATTCTTATCGAGGGTACTTAAAAATAACTTATTACTTCCAGTGTATCATATATCAGACGGTAGGCCTAAATGGGTTAATGCCAACCTTGCGTTCAATATGATTGAAGTCCGGTTGCGTAGATGAAATTGTTTCAACAGATGTTGCGGCTACGTAGGTATCAATACATAAAAACCTCATCAAAATTATATTTTTTCTGAAGTATTGTGTTTGCTGTTTACTTTTAGAGGTTTAGATTAAGAGTATCAGATGATTCATTTTCTTAAATACTTTTATTTACCACCCTTATGACATTATAAAAGAAAAAAGTATCGGTAGATGCTTACGAAATTTCTACGTTTCTACGACCGTTGTTCATAACCTTTCGAAACCGATAGAAATAAACATCAAACACAGGTTGGCTCGGATCAGTGTCAACCCAACTTCACAAATAGCAAGATTCAATGGAATTTCCTTTGTGTAAGAATGTTAGGTTTATGTCAATATGTTCAGGATTAAATCCATTCAATCCTTGATAAATAGTAAAGTCAAATTTGACAGTGCTTACTGGTTATATGAAAGGGAAAGGCCGTGACAATAGTTAAAATTATTTATTATATTTTTTTACATCCGATTTAAAGGCTCACGCATACCTATATGGCGGGCCGCACTATCGCATATTATTATTGGCGGTCCGCACCGGGTCATATCGCAACGCACTGCTGGCGGATCACTTACTAGCATAGAGTACTTTTAAATACTGGATACTTACTAGGCGTATTGTTCGATAGCTTAGTGACTTCTATATGTGGATTTCTCAATAAAAATCGGATATTCAGATTGTAGAATATTATTCATAGTAAAATACAGATCTTATTAAGTTATGTGCGTACTTTGTCTTTTTTGAATTCGAATTGCAAGAGGGAGAGTGAATGTATATAAATCAAAATGAGTGAATGTAGAATGTATGAATGGACGATGATGATGGACCGATTGTGGATTCTCTCGCCGAAGGATAGATGGCGTTAACACGTATTTTTGCGGCGACGTGTTGTGTTGCGTTGCGACCCGCCTCAGTACATTAAGTATTCATTCATACTATTTAAAAATTGAATATAGTTTATTTGCTTTTTCATACAAGTACAAACTGAAAACAAATTTTAAGAATAATTCTTTGATTTTTAACATTTTCGTTTGTATTTGATAATTTTAAAGTCTGGAAAATTACCGTTTGTACTGGCACTCAAAATCGCGTATCGTTAATCGTATACAGATAAAATCGTATTATCAGTAGCATTAAAAAATATTATAAACCTGAACCGCATTATTCCAAAACGCTGACTTAAGTTATTCGTGGTTCTTCTTATTTCTTTTTTATGGCATGCACGGTTTGTGCGTTCAACAATGTCAAGTAAAACTAATGTTGTCTTTGTGTTCTTTTTAATTTTCACTAAACAAAAGCGACAGCATCAGTTTTAGTCCAGGTTTAACTTTAGTCTACGTTTTGTAATAAGGCAAAAAAAAACTTGATATATTGCCTTTTACTTATTTTCTCATGAACAAAATTATGAATAATGAAGTAGTATTAGTGTGTACATTTAACGTATAAATATTCGATAGTGTCTTGTGGGCCATTTTCAGGTATGAGGTCGCACAGGCACGTAAAAATTTTATACACTAACTTATAGTCTGCTTATAGAACTGCCTATAGGCATGTGGTCGGCTCGTGGTGATCCATCTGCTGATGCATCTATTGACGTATCTTCCCTTTTTGATTTAATCTAGACCATTATCAATAATAATTGAAATAATATTTCACAATCCATTATTTAATTTTAGATCAATTCCACTCAATAATGTTTTCTTACTTGTTTGCTAGCTACGTACATGTGAGTGTAAACAGAATAGTTAATGGCAAACGAAGCACTTATGACTCTACTTCATATTTGCACTCTGACAAAATGTTTGCATTTCTTTTGACCTGTATGTCAAATACATCATCATCATAATAAAATGCTCATACTTTTGTAACTAAACAAAGATTGTGAATGTTTCGCTTAACAGGTATGGTGTCAAGTTCTTCATGTCCTCACAAACTATTTTATGGTGACCAGTTACATCTGGATGTTTTGCGAAGGGTTACATCTTCACATCGCACTTGTTGTAGTAAGTATTACCGTTATTTAAACATAACACAATTTTGAGGTATAAATATCATAGCTATATAAACTACTCGTCTCAAAAAAACATGTAAGGGGATACATAGTGCTTTATATTATACCTAGTAACTCGAGTTATCACATGGGTTCGCGTGGCTTTTCATTTGTTTTTATTAATATACGTAACTACGTAATAAACCCGGAATTTCTTATGTAAAGAGCAGAGGTAAATTCGACCACCATAGAACTAACGAATAAGTCAAAGGTTCTACTTACAAGTTTTAAAATTACATTTCGGACCAAAGAATTCTTTGTTCTCGGCTTATAGGCAGCTCTTACATAAATATTACAGGCACACTTAATTTGAGAGAATGACATGACTGGCAGCTATTTTAATTAAATATTGTGTGACAGGTGTTCGTAAAGGATGAAGTGGCAATGAGGTGGTTCCTCGTGATTGGCTGGGGTCTGCCGTTAATCATCGTTGGATTGTACACCATAGTGCGTTACCTCACGCCAGGAGCTACAGTTCGGTTGGTATTTCACGTACTGCAGTGCTATTCTGTAAGAACAAACTCACTTTTCACCGAGGAATTCGCCGGAGTGATTTAAAATTTATTTAAAAATCGTATTCTAATATTTTCAAACAACTCGGTTTCCGTGGTGAAAAGTGAATTTGTTCTTACAGAATAGCCGTGCTGAGTTTTTTACAAAGGAATTATTTGTACATTTTACGCGTTGGACACACCGCAAAGCACTTGTGTTTTTTTTGCTTACTAGACTGTGGCTGCCCAGGCATCAGTTAAATTTTGTTTTGGCATATTAATGGCATCACATAATCTCGAAGAGATCGTGTCCCACAATTTAAACTAAAGGCCGAATCAGACTTTTGAAACGCGACGCTACGCCACGTGTAATTTCTATGATCAGTGTGTGGGTATCGCGTCGCGTCGGATGTTCCTAATGTGATTCTAATCATAGAAAATAGTACAGTGATTTGACTCAAAATGCGTCGTCGAGTGGCGTCGCGTTTCATAAATCTGTTTTGGCCAATTACTCGTAGAACATAATTGGCAACTTGTCATTACCTCGCTTCTATTGTTTCTATTAGCGAGATTCTTCGTACAAGTTTGTTTTTCTGGGCCAGAAACAAAGAAAATCAGAAATGTTGGCAGCTTCATCTGTTTCGAATCGATAGCAGAACTGAAATACTGCAGCCAACGATATCCTATTGTATCTGAACATTTCAGACCGAAGTATCTAGGTATCAAATGTAGCTTATTTCAATGTTCCTCTATTAAGAAAATTATTATAACTTATTTGTTATTTATGCATGGTGTTGCATCCTGTGCCACCCTCGTAAGACATGTGTGGCGCATATACTTACAAAGCAATAACATATTTTCGCACAACTACATGACATCGTCAGACGAGCCCCTAACTGAATGACAGTTCTGTTATAATATTATTTTGATAATCTTTGTCTGCCAGGACGTGAACCCATAAGCAACACTTGCGTCTTATAGCACGAGAGATGGACAGATAACAAGAATATTATAGTGTGCTAAGACTCAGAAAAAATTCTTCATATCCCTGCAAAAACAAAACTTTTAGGGCTATCTTACATTAAAGGAGCCTGCTGTCCGCCAGCTTACGTAGATAATGAAGTTATTCTGTTTATGAACACTGTCTGTAACTTACGTACATATAGGTTCAAAGTTAGAAATGGAATCTAATTGAGCCCAAAAAAAATGGTAAGAGCACACACTGCCAAGGGCCTCGCTTTTTGTTACTAGCCATGATTCTGTCTTAGTCAGTGAAGTTGAGCATATTTTATGCAAGCAACATGGCAAAATAGATGACTTTTTTTATATGTCGTAGGGTGATTTGTTAAATCAAATTTTCGCGAAAATCCCAGGGATTTTGCAAAAACGCAAAAAAATTAATCAACTTAGTTGCCGTTTCCCAATCTTACTGAAAAAGGGTAGGATTTGTGCGAAAACGTGAGTCGCCTCAGTAATAATAATAATAATAATCTTTTATTTTGCCAAAAAAAGTGTACAATATTTAAACTTACTAATTAGGTACATAGTTTTTTTTTTTCTCTTATAAAGTAGGTAATAGTAAAAAAATCTTAGGCATAAGAGTTTTCTAACATAGTCGCACTGAGCCCTAGCTAGATTATAAAATAATCTGTGTTAAGGGCAACAGTCCCGTTCCCTCGTCGTATCCTATAAAAAGTTAATTACAAAGGTACAAACACACTATACTACATGCACACACATACTTTAAGACCAAATAATTTAAGCCGTATTTATAACTGTGTATTTTTTACCTTAAACAAAAGTTGTGGTTGAGTGGTGGAAAATTTATTAATTACTTATATATCGGGTTTTTCTTTTATATGGGTGGTTGTATATAGTACTTTAATTATATTTTTAGGATATGAAAGTTAGTAAGGTTTCAGTTTCGTCATATGACTTTGACATAAGCCATTCTGTGATTTTTTGTTTACAACGTGAGTAGGGTAAGCAGTGGTGGGAAGTGACTTTATTAATTTTATTATAAAGATAAGGACCGAGAAAGAAAAGAAAGTGTTTCGTAAATGCTACTCTTGGCCTAACAATAGGACATACATTGTAGTTCCGTCGCGCCGTAGACTTAGTTTGGGGTGTTTGGGAATGTATTTTTAAGATAGCACTTAGTATATATATTTGACGGACATTTAAGACCTTACATTCTTTATATAAATCTCGTGTTGGGTACATACGTGGTTTGAAAGTGCTCACCTTGAGTAATGCTCTTTGAGCTTTCTCGAGGGATAACATGTGTGTTTTGTATGTTCCTCCCCATGAAGTAATGCAATAACCTATTAAACATTGACACAGCGCATAGTAAATAGATTTTAATATACTAGGTGGGGCAGCATGCCTCAACGTTTTAAAAATGTAAATCAATTTGCGGACTCGTGAAGAAAGGGAATCAATGTGATATTTGAAACTAAGGTTTTGATCTAGTATAACGCCGAGATATTTAATGGTCTGAGTTGGATGGATACTAGGACAGGTGGCATTACACAGATTAGGGTTAGGACAATTATGGACAATCAAATTGGGTGGTATGGAAGGTTGCGTGTTGTTTCGAATGGAAAATGACATAAATTTTGTTTTTGATGTGTTAAGAGACAGTGAATGATTTGATAACCAACCAGTTACAGCATTTAATCCCATTTGAGCAAAATTTTCAGCTTCCTGCCAGCTCTTGGCAGCAAAGGTAAGGACTGTATCATCGGCAAAAGAAATTATTTGACCATGATGTAATGTACTTTGAGTTAAGTCATTGATAAATGCTAAAAATAATGTAGGACCAATTATACTGCCCTGCGGGATACCGCAGGTCACTGGGAGGTCATCACTGAGGAAAGTATTCACTTTAACCTTTTGAGTCCTTCCCGTAAGATAGCTCTTTAAAAGTTGAAGCTGCATACCGCGAACACCCAAACCCTCTAGCTTGGACAATAACTTCGTGGTGGGAATTACGTCGAAAGCCTTAGCAACATCAAGAAATACGGAAATAACTTTTTTCCCATTATTCAAGTTAGATACGATGTTGTTAATTAGCTTTAAAACGGCGTCAGAGGTTGATAACTTCTGTCGAAAACCAAATTGATTAGTTGAGAGTAAGTTATTTGTTTCGAAATAGTGGGTGAGTCTTGTATTAATTAGCCCTTCCAGAACTTTAGATAAAGATGTAAGTATGGCTATGGGTCTATAATTTTCCACACATTTCCTATCACCTGCTTTGAAAATAGGGTGGACAATTGCTCTTTTAAAAGAGTCTGGAAAAACTCCTAGTTCAAAACATTTATTAAATACACATGCCAGAGGTTCAGAAAGAATGGAAGAATATCGTTTTAAAATATTTGATGAGATGTTATCCCATCCTACTGCTGTGTCTGATTTTAATGACATTATTATTGCTTGTACTTCTTTTGAGTCAGTCTCCAAAATAACGAAAGAGTTGGGGAAATTTGTCGTGGTATTTTGAGTCTGATTTAAATAGTCGGCTCTGGGGGTGATAGTACCTGCCAGTTTCTCACCAATAGTAGCAAAGAAATCATTCACTTTATTCACAGACAGAATGGTAGATTCACAACATTGAAGGAGGTCAGTTGCTGTTTCTTTCGGTTTAGAAATATTTGTCACTTTTTTAATTGTGTCCCATACTAGTTTAGTGTTTTTACCTGCTTTTATAAACTGTTCTATATCGTATTGGCATTTAATTTTATTTATTATTTTGTGACAGAAGTTGCGATATCTTAAATAAGTTGTTTTGAGAATTATGTTGTCAGGATTTTTTCTTAGATTGCGGTGCATTTTATCCCTATTTCGTATACAGCGTAGAAGTCCGGGGGTAATCCACGGCTTCAATATTCTTTTACGATTGGAAACTTTAAAAGATTTAGTATTTTTTTCTATAGCATTTTTTAATTTGTCAATAATATAGTTAATTTCTTTATTTGGATTTGTTATAACATGTTCTTGAGAAAAATCAATTTCCGAAATTGTTTTATCTAATCCTTCCAAGTCAAGTTTTGTGATAATTTTTTTTGCTGGGAAGGTCACAGGTGTAGTATTTAGTGACAATAAAGTAGCGGAATGATCAGTGACCGTAGACTCCATCACTAAAGTGGTCGTAGAATTTTTGGTATTTAGAAACACATGGTCTAAGCATGCTTCTAGGCGGGTAGGGAGATTATGCGCTGGTAAGTAACCATGAAAAGCCAACATCGTCAAATATTCCTGGCCACGGGTGTCCGGATTAATTAAGTTTACATTGATATCACCTATTACTATATGATTTTTTACAGATTTTATGTCTAGCAGGACAGAATTTAAAGAGTCTAAGAAGTCATCGATGGAGTGTATCGAGGGTGATCGATAAATGCATAAAACCGCCAATTGTGATCCTATTTTAATTAGGAGACCAGATGCATTTACTAATTTCAATTCGGTCACAGTTACATCAGAGAGATCGGATTTAACAAATACTATCACTCCGTCGCTTTGATTGAGATGCTCGGTAGTTTTATATGTATTGTAATTACTGATTGGGGGTATATTTTGGTTAGCGAAACATGGTAGCCATGCTTCAGTTAGGATTATTATTTCCGGTTCAAGTGGAAGGGAATGTAACAGTGTGTATAAATTCAATTTATTACGATTAAACGAACGAATGTTTTGAGCAAGTATTTTAAAACAGTCGTTACTATTTTTTAGGTAATTATTACAGGATTCTGGTGAGCAGGTAAAATAATGAGACAGGGAAAATTCATCAATACTTTCACTTATGTTAATTATGGTATCCACTTTTGAATATAATATAGGTAGGGTTTAGTGGGAGGGTGATAAATAATCTGATATGCATTGGTATGGGGTAAAGTTATGTATTTGTATGATATAATAAAAGTATTTGAACACAATAGTGTCACAGTATAGTATTAGTTAGTAATATTTAGGTAAAAAATATATGTTTTTTTGGTTTTGTAGTTGCCCACAATAATAGCGTGTGTGTATGCGGCTTTATGATCCTTAGCACAATGTAAAGTAGTAAACAAATGGCAAAACGCTATGTATAAAAACGAATAAAAGAAGTTTACAATAAAGATAAAAACATAAAAAATATGAAAATGAGAACTCTTGTTCCTGCATACTGATCGACAGCAGGCAACTAGTCAGACTGCAGGGTTTTGTATTTCTTCCAACTGTTTCTCATGTTTTATTTCCAGTACGGGGGATTTGTCCTGTTTACGTGTTAGTATACGTCCATCAATTGTCCAACAATGTTTAATCAAGCCTTCTTTCTTTAATTTACGCGCCAAGTAATAAAGACGCGCTCCTTGTGGTGTCAAATGGTCGGCGACAAAAATTGGGACAGGAACAGGATTGTTAGTCACACCGGCATGAGTAGAATTTAATTTTCCGTCATTATGATTCTTGTTGAATATTTTGACTGATTGGATTAGTTGATGTTTTGCAGTGTTGTTTGAAAATGATACTACAAGTGGCCTGTTTGAATCTTTTTTGCCCGGTAGACGATATATGTCAAGAATTTCCGAGGGAGCTAACTCCAAATTAATTGCGGTGGTGATATTTCGGAAATATGCGAGCAGTTCCGATCTCCGAGCAAAAAGAATAATTGGCTTATTTATAAATATTCTTGGATTTTTGGTTTCTTGGGTTGGGTTAGTATTGTGACTATGATGAAGCACGAGCCGAGCGAGTATGCTCTAGCAGCAAAGGAAAGCCGACGGCGTGAATATTTAAGTAACAATCATTACTGAGAAAAACGTGACACGTTTTTCTCAGCTAACATTTATGGCGTTAAAACAAATTTAATTATTAGAATATATAAAAAAGTTAAGAGCGTGTCGTCAATTTAAACATTGGTATTTTAGTAAAATTATCGTTATTATAAACATTAACATTACAAATACATAGGTCATTGAATGTTGTATTTTGGTAGTTTTTATTCATTTGTTTTAATATTATTTAAAATAATAAATACAACATTTATTAAATTAGAGAGCTCTAAACAACAATACCCCAGTTGTACAGTTGTTGTGCTTGCTTGTACTGCAGCTCTTATACTCTGAAAATTTAATCCTTTACCTGTAAAACCTGAGTGACTGACCATTGACGGACAGACGGACACGCGAGGGACAGCAGTAGTTAGAGCTTATGAACCATAGTCATAGAGAAAATGGCTTCCTCGCTCCCGCATTCCTCTATTGTTTGTTTTTGTCTCTTTCTACAGAGTTATAATATACATGTGAACGTTGCTCAGTCCATTCCCTATGTTTATAATTTGGACCCTATCAGTACGGAACCCTAAGAAGAAAAAGTTTTACTTCAGCTCAAAGTGTTGTTGATTTCATCCAATCCGACAGTCTTATTAAAGTGCTTCCCGTAATCAGTAGCGTTTAGCGTAGCGACCACAGAACAGATTAAAATTGTAGACGTCGAAGTAGGCGGCACCCGTGTAACCTCAGTATGCGCTGCTTAGCATATTTGATAGTGCTCACGCGTCAGTTACAATTTCAGATCGTGACAAGAAAACATTTCGAAAAATTATCTAAATATGCCTAATTGTTCAATACTACAGTGTAAAATTTATAGCTACAAGTATAAGAAAAAACTATGACACATTTGCAAAAAAAAGTCAAACCCACAACTTTAACACGAGATTTAAGAACAAGCTTGCCGTTCTATGATTCAGACTCGAAAAATCAAGAGGTTCATTTCTGGGTTGTAGTATTGCACTGTTCAATAAAGTTCCCCAAGATCTGATTGAGCTTCCACTGACCAAAATCTCAGATCAGGAATACTCTGAATGAATAAGGACTATTATAAAGTTGATGATTATCTAAATGATCGCAATGCATGGACATAGTGTTTTTTGTTGTTTAATGGGTATTAGTCATTTTTCATAACAGTAATGTGGTACCTAATGCCGCTTCCTATACGAGTATACTAAAAATATGAAATTAACTATAAAATTTATTGTAACTATATATCTTTATTCTATATGATGTAATGGAAGGTGACTTCAGTAGTATCTCTGAAGTCATTTTTCAACTTGACGACTCTGAGGGAGAAAAAAACAGCCCTTGCTGAGTTTCTTGCCGGTTCTTCTCAGTACAAGGTCTCCCGCCGTAGTTTTGATCTTTTGATTAAGTGTAGATGGCGTAGCTTCTTGACTTTCACAAGTACACACATCAAAAGTGTCTAGGGATCAACATATATTTTTGCAATAACTTTTCTCCTGATTGATATTAATTAAAATTTTCTTTAAGGATTCATCAAATAAAGTGTTTTCGTTTGTCACAGTAACGATAAACCAAGTCACCTTTGCATTAATAAAGAAATTTGCCATTTCCCTAATAAAGGGATTTTTGACATTTGAACCACTAACACAAAAGTTCGAAAAAAAGACTGAAATAACAGTTTTCTCTAAAATTTTATTGGGTAACTTAAACAATTAATAATCCGTATTTCTACCGCGAACACTAACAACACAAGAACATCGGTTTGGCATACTCAAAATGAGTTCATCCAAATCACGCTGTGGAATGGCCGCCCATGTTCGTTGCAACAACAAAAAAAGGTCTTCTTGCGACTGGATACCCTCCATATTCGGCAGAGCTCTTCTCTGTAGCATATCCCATGCATGCTCAATCGGGTTCAAGTCTGGCGACTGAGCAGGCCAGGGCAGGACATTGATGTTAGCTGCGGCGAGAGTCTGTCTTACAACTCTTGCGGTGTGCGGTCGTGCATTATCATGCATTAACTGAAATAAGGGACCGATTTGCACTTGTAGAGGAACGATGACGTCTGATACAATCGTCTCAGCATAAATTTGAGCGTTGAGGTTGCCTCTGATCCAAATCAACTCAGTTCTTCCGCCGATCCAAATACCCGCCCATACCATGATGGTTCCACCACTATAAGGATGGACTTCCTGGCAGGATTTTAATCGCTGTTGGCGTCCAGGGGTTCTCCAGTGTCGTATACGTCTTGTATCCGGTCTCATACCAAAACGAGACTCATCAGAAAAACACACGAAACGCCATTGTTCTTCTGCCCAATTTCTGTGTTCAAGAGCCCATTGATATCGAATCCTACGATTGTGCATTGCTATAGGTGGTACCCGTAGCGGTCTTCGGGAATGAAGGTTCACTTCATGCAAGCGGTTTCTGACTGTTTGGTCGCTAATTAAGTTCCCTGAAGAGTGATGAAGCCTCACGGCTAACATCATGGCGGTTATTGTTGGAGCTCTTCGAGTTAAGATTTGAATGTATCGGTCTTGTCTCCGTGTGGTGCAGCGATACCGTCCTCCATGGCGCTCAGCCACGGTACCAGTGCTTCGGTATCGTGTCCAAAGTCGACTGATAACACTCTGACTTGTATTCAGAGCTAAAGCCACAGTACGTTGCCGGGAACCAGCTTCTATCATTCCCACGGCTCTGAGCATTTCTTCCCTGCTTAAATGACGTCGCCGCTCCATAATAACGTTGGTTTTAATCAGTAGTAGGGAAACAGTAGCACTAATAATGTCTTCAATGCGTTGTATGTTTTTATAGGGAAAATATTGACAGCTGATTTTCATCTTTTACTCGAATTTGATTCACAGTTCCTGATTCAAATTATGAAATGCACCAAAAAGGATCCATATAAATTTATAAAATCATAAATTTATTACAAAGCCACATCTCAATCTCAAGAAATCCGCATAAAAATGCTTGATCCCTAGACACTTTTGATGTGTGTATTTGTAACAGCCTACACTGAATAAATGATTTTTGAGTTTCGAGTTGGAGTAAAATTTATCCAATGAAAACATAAAATACCATAGCTAAGTAATATTTCAATATAATTTTCGGAAAATAAGAAAATCTAAACGAATCAACATTTATATGATGAATAACAAATTAAATTCCACTTTATTGTCAAAATAAATACTATTTACAAGTTCCATTTCATGATGAACCATGACTTCTTGTTTAAGGCAATATACCACAGAATACATAAGGCACCTCGCGCACTTTGACGAGGGAATGCGTTTTGTAATGAGCAGATGTCCTTTAAAGTTCCCCGATAGCATTAAAAAAATATAAACTAACATTCCGCATTATTCGAAAAATAAAACAATTGTTTTACTTTTTAGTTCATTTTATACCGGCAGCCTCGTTTTTTTAATTTTTACCAAAAAAATCTGTTTTATGGTAATGACGCAATGGAGCGTGGGTAACGTAGCTCTTAAAACTTTTTTCAACCGTCGTTGAAGTCAAAGTCCATTGAGAAGAATTGGATACTTCAACAAAGTGAAATTAATGACATGAAAAATGGCTGTCGGTGTAATTTTACGCCTACGAGAAAAATTACCTTAGGCCCTTAAGGCCAAACCGTTAACGTACCATCTTTCGTTTTGTTCATTCATATCATCGTAGCTTCATTCGCTCGTCATATTCATTTATTATACTTGATTAAAGATATAATTAACGCAACTATTTATCCATTATTAGGGTTCCGTACCCAAAGAAAAAAACGGTACCCTATTGTTGTCAACCTATTGTCATCTGGCTGCCTGTCCGTATGTAATAACTCAAAAATAAACAATTTTTTTAAGTATATTAATTAAGAAACAATACGTGTCCAATACTTAATAATCTACCTAAAGCGAAGAAAAAATAGATAGCCATAATCCCTGTTGGCAGGTATCTTCAATAAAGTTGAAAATACTTTCCAGGAGGGCGTTGTATTATGGAGTGTGCCCACAGAATATATAAATGTTTGTGCCCTGACTTAAAGTAAATAAAGCTAGGATTTCTATTTGTCTTGTCAAGGTGCTGGATGGAGCAGAGTGACACGTTTTGGATCATCATTATTCCTGTGCTGGTCTCACTGTTTGCTTCGTTTGGTTGGTATAAAGCATTCATGCATTTTAGAATAAATATTTAGTTTCCAAAGACATCTATTTTCTAAGAAGAAAGTTGGTAAATTAAACGAATTTCTTTTTCCGATCAGTTAGTTAAATTGCAAATAATAATTGAAACTTATTTTTTCTTTTGCCAATCAATCAAAAAAATACTAAAATAAAGGACGTCAAAGTTTGGGAGTGGGGCCTCAAGATGTCACTTCTAAGTAATAATTATAGGGAAGACCGGGGCTGAAGTTCCGATTTTCACATAACATGGAATTAGGTATATGATCAAAATGATAAGTTTTATTTTTGATATTCAAATTAATTAAAGAATCTTAATCGGTCTTTTTAATAGTATTGTAATTTCTGCCGATATCTCAATAGTTTTTCTTTTACAGTCAAATTTTTGCAAAATTTCGGAAGGGAACATTCAACCCCGCGTTGGGACGAGTTGTTCCATGTGAGGGGCAAAATGTGCCGCTATGATAATAGAAATTAAATATGAGAATAATATAAGTTTCTTTTAAATGAAAGAGTAATTACAAAGTTACATTTATTGTGTGTTATAATAAAACATAAACATAACTGATAAGCTTCAGATAAATGTTTCTTAAAAACTATAATAGAGATTCATCAAGTTAAAACTCTTATCAAATACATAACTGCACTTATTTTAAGTAAATAACAAATGGTAACCTCTTGACTAACGTTTCAATAGTAAGTGTAATGACAAGTGAGATCACAACTTCAATTTTAATCAAATAACAAAACAAAACTTCTAGTACCCATATTTTTTTCATTTACTGTATTCTTGTGGTTAATAAAAATATTTATTTCGGTGGAATTACAATGAAAACTAATCATCAGTCTTGTTTTAAGCAGTAATAATTAACTTTGGCAACTTTTATTCTTATTCATCATTCAATTTTTCATCTGTCTAACAATTTACGACACACATAAGCAATACCAGCTTCATTTATACATTTAACCGTTTTTATTTGTCTTCCGTCTTGTATGACAGCATTGGCAGCTTGGTGTAATAATGATTTGGAAGTTTTACCTCTATCAGTTTTTCGTTTATAGGTACGTGCCATCCTAAAAAAAAGAAAAAAGGCGTAAGTTATTTCGGGGAACAACCAGCCCATTTAGGAGGGAACTTGTAGCCCCACATTAAGTTTTTGTATAAAAATTGTCATACTAGCAAATTAACGGAATCAATGGAGAAAAACATTCAAACAATAAGATACCTAACTAATACCACTCTTAAATAGGAAAGAAACACATAAATCGGTAAATAATAAATAAAAATAGACCAAAAAGACTAAACACGAAAAAAATTACTTACGTGGTGTCCAATAGCACGGTGCATACAGCCATTCGTCCGCCGCTGTCGGAGCAACTAAGGTGGCCGCCAGCGCGACGCATCACCTGATGCTTAAACGACGCACTTCACTCGTATTGTTATCTTTTTCCTTTACTAAGTTATAACTGTCGGAACAATTTACCCCGGGAATGTCCAGCCCCGGCCTCCCCCTACTAAGACGTGACGTCATGCGACATTTCAAATCAATATATCTCTGTAATGTTTTGATTATGTGAATAATGAAAAAATACCTGTCCAATACTTTTTGGTTGGCGTAATATTGAGTTATTCGTCCATTTACTTAATGCAAATTTAAGACTTATATGGTTTTCTCATGAATGCCATTGTCAGAATTGGACCAAATTAAGATGAAACTATACAGAAAGTACCAGCTTTAAAGTAAAAAATAATCATCAAAATCAATTCACCCTGTCGAAAGTTCTGTGGTAACATACATAAAAAAACAGTCGAAAGTGCGAACAGAAGTGAAAACTTAAAAAAACTAAGCAAAAATAAACAAAAAAAAGCGAATGTGCTTATGACCACATGACTGAAGTGAAAATGCTTTAGCTCCATCTGTATGTATAGCGTGACTAAAGAAGTTTCACTTCGAAAATGAGCGGTTCTATGGAACTACGATGCAAGTGAAACTTTTAAAATAAAAAGAAGATTTTACTTCAAAATAACATGTTTACAGGAAGAAATGCTTAAAGTTATTTAACAATGTAGGGTACAGTTTTAAATTAAGTTATCTTCGTTGTATCCTTCCAAATAACATCTGACATGGACAGTGCGTGCAGAGGCTACTTGTGACCGTTTACGCATACAAACTACAAAACACTCATATCCTGTGGGGCCCCGTGGGTTGATTCAGCGTTTCGTAGAAACAATTTACGTTAAAATATTTGTAGTGAAATTTCATGATGTAATTTACTGAATGAACACATTTTGTCATTCAGTTGTGTTGCCGAAACTGTTTTTTTTTACTTTTTAATGTTTTTATAATAAAATATTATTACCTAACTAGTTGATATACAATATTTATTTTATTAACCTGGAAATAGTTTCGTTCAAATATAAAGCTATATGCCGCTTTTTACCCGACTGTGCAATGCAAGAGCGTGAAGCGCGACACGCAGACAGGGTATAGTGTTTAACAGTCTATATATGTATGTATGTTCCTTTGTGGCACACAAGAGAACAAACGCGTGGACCGATTTTGATGATTCATACACCAATCGATTCTTCTTAATGATGACAGCGCTACTAAAGATATAATAGTAATCAAAATTCAATATGGGAACAATTTGGCGCCATATTATGACGAAGTAAAAAAAATTTGTTGACGAAATATGTCGAGTGGGTATCATTGTCTAGATAATGCAAAATCATAATTAGGTTCCTTACACTATTTTTTATTTTATATGACTGTTTAGGATCTACAACGATTTAAAGTTGCATATCGACCACTTGCGCTTTTAATTTCAATCTAATGTTTGTATGAATCTTTGTTACTCTTTTACTCAAAAAGTACTAAATGGATTTTAATTAAACTTAACAATAATATAGCTCCTACGTAATAATTACATATAGATAATAATTTATGTAGTTATTGAGTGAATTGGCCAAAATATAACAATAAGTGATTGAAAAATTTGATCCATTCTTGAATATTTAATGGTTCCCGACTGTTAAAGTCCCTTACTAAGCTTTGTCCCTTACTTAACAGAATTATATAATAACGTATATTAAGATCCACTAATAATTCGAAAATCGAAATGGACTTTCGTATTAAATTTTCAACACTGTGTCAGTCACCCGTGCAGAGCCTATAGCCGAGAAACTAGTGTTCTGATCTGCATGAAATTTGAATGCAACATGTATAACCGCAGAACTAAACAAAAGAAGATCATTTTACTATAAGTTTTTTATGTACAGGTACATTTTAAGCATTAAATAACGTAATAAAAAATTGGTCAATAATAATGTCAATTATGAAACGTAGAATAGTTTAGTATAAAATATAATGTAGTAAAATTAAAATTTTATCCTAACACTGTATAATTCTTGTGGAAATCAAAAAATCATGAACTATACAAGTTGATCGTTACCTGCTTAAAAATATCGACCGGGACAAAACTCCCACAACTCAAATGACGTGCGGCTGCTAATCCTTTGTTATGCGGCGCAATCTAATTGACAAATTAAGACACGCACTGGAGCTGTGTACTTGGTATAATTTTAGAGAAATTTGCTTGTTAATACATACCTCTATTAATTGCCCCGGTCCCCTACCTACCCTATCGTTGCCCAACAAACAATTATGGTTCGGGCGAATCAAAGTACCTCTGGACTTATATATATTTAATAATAAAAGAAAGTCGACAAATACCCACAAAAAGTGTCATATAAAAGCTACGAAAGTCCACGATACCAGGTGTCGGGCCTAATTTAGTGTCCCATTACTAACAATATAGTTAAACAAGGGAAAGAGGGAAAAGCTCGTATAACGTACGTAGGTACAACATGTTTTTGTCAATACGAGACAGTAAATAGCCCGGTGCTCTTATATAAAGTTAACATACAAGCTACTACTATCTCTCTATTTATATATCTACAACTTAAAACTATTGTAATGAAAAAGATTTTTTTTTGTGGAAATGTGTGTCCACTGTGTAATGATCTTAAAAACAATGCTACTTTTATTTCGATATTAATTTAAAATTAAAATTTAATCTTATCACAAAAACCACAATTATGTTGCACAATTATAATTATGAAAATTTACAGATAAGATAATAGAAAATACCTGATGGTGATTGAAATCTTTCAATCAAGTGATCAAGATTTTTTTAATTTTATTTACGTGGCGCAATAAAAAACCCGCCCGGATCTGATGTTAAGTGTAAGTGGAGTCCAGTCGCGAAGATAGATTATACGGCAGAAAATGTACCGTTCCACTCACCCACCTTCCCCTACCCCGCGAAACCCTGAAACCCTACTCACCAGCAGAAACGCAAAACCACCAAAAAAAGGTAGTGCTTTTTTACTGTGCTCTTCTGTTAGGTGGAGGTTGCTTCCCCAGACGGGTGCTCCCTCGGTGTGCCCTACCTCTTTAAAAACATTAAGCAAACTGATATTACCCACATCATCCCCGTCCAGCCACATGATACCGTTTATCATAAACCGAGTGTGCTGAGAATGTGTAAACTTCCCGTCCCAAGTATAAGGCCGTATACAGAAAGAAAGCCGGTAGGCTACCAGCGCTTATAGGAACCGGTTCGCGCAGGTAACCGACGCAGGTATTTCTATGGACCAGCGCCGATAAGCGCCGAACGTCGCCGACAAGTTCCGACAATCTTCGACACGCGCTGGTCAGCGCTGGCACCGCCCTTTAAAATTAATGAACAACTACGCTTCAATCTTCTTCCATTATGTAACTGTTACCAGTAAGGACCAGTTGTGGTCGGCTTCCAGCTTTCTTTCTGTATACGGCCTAATACTCTATCGTGGTAGTTCATTTGGTTTTGATATAAATATATGTAGTAAAGCAGGAGGGGCTTAACTTTGAATTTCGTTTATCCTATTTAACTTTTTGATTGAGAAATTTCGATATGCATTAAGTAATTATTATGTTATCTCATAAGCAGTATATTTAATATTCGCCTTAGTTTATGGCCTATCAAAGTGGCATGTATCTTATTCTATTTCAATAGCATAAAAAGTGGCAAAGAAGAATAAGTTGAGCATTTAACTAATGCTTATATGAACTCAATGGTGCATGCAGGTGGTTAGCGCGTTCAGCCTGCGATCGTGGAAGTTAAACTTCTTTCGCAATAGTCGGTCATTGTATGGGTGGCCAAAAATTTTGTATCTCGAGCTCCTTCGTGCTTCGGAATGCACATTAAGGCGCTGGTCCCGGCTGCATCTGCAGTTGTCAGTACCCACCAATCCCGCAGCACTGGGGCCGCGTGGTGGAACACGGCTCAAACTCACTATTCCGCCCATAGGGAGGGCCTGTACTCCTGCAGTGGGGATATTAATAGGCTTAAAATTAAAAATATAATTGACATCTCTGAGTGCACCGTTTGTGTGTTTAATTGTTAATTAAGTTTCAATTACAGTCAGATAAACATTGAAATAATGTAAATAATATAATCTTTTATTTTTTTAGTATTCTTAGTAAACGTGGTACGTGTGTTAGTTACCAAATTGCACCCGGCACCAAACCAGCACACCACTGTGGCGATGAAAAAAGCGGTCCGTGCTACTCTCATTTTGGTAAGTAATAATTTTCATAAGAGATTGGTGTGGTTTTATGAAACAACGCTGCAAGTAAAATTTTTAAAACTATTAATGATAAAAAGGTCTTATTCGACTGGGATTCGAACCCGGGCCACCGGCGTAGTAGGCGAGCTTTTAACCACTGAACCACCCCTGCTTGTTATAAGGACTTTTTAATTGAAATTTTATTTTTAGGGAAGGCCTGTGCCCTATCCGTGGGGAAATTTAAAATATAATGTGACATGCTAACATAAACGAAAAAAAATGTGGCGATGTAATAAAAGTTTAACTTTAATAATATCCAGATTCAGTTACGAAATTGTTAGTTATAGTTACATGCCAGTAACAGTCGGTCGTAGTAATTAATTAATTATATGTATATATAAATATTTCCAACGCTTACACCAATTAGCCTAGCCCCAAATTAAGCGCTGTAGTATTGTGTTATGGGTTACTAGGTAAACGGATAGAATACATATACTGATACATATATAAGTTTATTTCTTTAGAAATACATATTTAATATCCATGACTGGAGTACAAATGTTCGTATTCATCACATAAACATCTGCAACTTGAAACCCGGCGGCGTACATACCACTCGGCCACGAAGGTCGACAAATTAGTTTTTTTCTTCCCGGACATTTTTGATATGAATCCGCAAGTGTTCTTGTAGCGGGTATAGGATTTTCATATTATCGACATCATCAAGGGCTTATTATTTCACTGGCAGTCCAAAACAGATTAAATGTTATGTACCGGACAACTTTAAGTTATTCTTAAAATTTATTTGAAAGTGAGTTAAAACAGAATATATAATAGTGCCTCATCAAATCTTGTGCTAATGTCTTGGCACGACACTTTTTTATTTATTTTTTTCGTTGCATTCCTGTACCTGTCGAGTAACACCTTTGCACTATAAGCAAATGAAAGTATAAACATTTTTCTACTAGAAAAAACATTAGTGCCACGTCTATGCTTGTTCAAAATATTGGCACGAATCTGTCTATTTCTCAAAGTTTACAACAGAACTCAGGGATTAACTCAAGGATACAGAGAGAAACATTCAACAAACAATTACAATTATTTCACAAAAATCATTTCCATTTAATCGAATATTTAAAAAGTACAAACAAATAATTTTTTTTCATTCATATTATAATAAAATAAATGAAAATTTATACATTCGAAACCATACATTAAAACATACATATTTATTTTTTTATTTTCAAATATTATAATCACTATCGTCATGATCATTATCACTATCGTCATTTTTTAATCACTTTTTAAATATTCGATTAAATGGAATTACTTTTTGTGCAATTATTGTAATTGTTTATTGAATGTTTATTTCTTTATCCTTGAGTTTATCCCTGAGTTCTGTTGTAACAAGCATAGAAGAGGCACTAATATTTTTTCTAGTAGAAAAATGTATAAACTTTCATTTGCTTATAGTGCAAAAGGTGTTACTCGATAGGTACAGGAATGCAACGAAAACATAAAATAAAAAAAGTGTCGTGCTAAGATATTAGCATAAGATTTGATGAGGCTCTATTATATATTCTGTTTTCACTTACTTTCAACTAAATTTAAAGAGTAAGTTCAAGCTCTATAAGTACAGTTACGGTACGAAAATGTACCGTACAAAAAATATAGACATCATGTGCACAGGTTCTGCCCTGGCACTTAATGATTTTTTTAATGGTTGCTATTAGTATTGTCATTTTAAAATAATCATCCTGTTACTCCATCGGCCAGGTTTTTTGCAGCCAGTTCTTGGACTATAAGCAAATCACATTTGGTCGGCGATCGGGGAACCCGGACATCTTTCGCAATGTCGGGTCCTGGGATGGGTGACTAAAACTTTTATGTCACGAACTCTTCCGTTCATAGGAAGGCAGATAAAGCCGTTGGTACCGGCTGCATGTGAAGTCATTAGCACCCACCAATCCAAATATGATGGTCTGCATAATTTTTCGTTCGAAATTAACAAAACAGCCGAGTTTTCTTCTATGGAGAATTCATAATTGCACTATGGAGATTTTATTAACCCCCCCCCCCCGCCCTCCCTTATACCTCCCTTATACCCCTAACCCCAGACACCCCTTTAGATTACGTTTTTTACTTGAAACGATATTACTTTACGGCAAAAATTTTATGATATTAAAAGAACCTTCTTTGACAGTATTGGCCGACTAATTGACTAATTTGTAGAGTTGATGCAATCAATTGTATGTCAATCTAAATTTGTCGTTTAATTCGTTGAAGTAGTGGAAATAAAGTAATTAATAATAATTTGGTTTATTTATTAATTTTACATGCTAAAAAATGTTCCTCACGCTAAGCAGTCTTGAATAAAAATACTGTAGCAGTCATTTTAGGCTTAATTGAAACAAGAATCCCAAAACGAAATATTTAATGTAAAGGTGACACTTTTAATTTCGTAAATTTGAGGTTATAATTTCGGACAATTTACAGTCAAATTTAACTTTTCGTTTGGAGATTTTAACGGTAAAACTATTTTCAGACGAACGAATTTATGAAATGAAAAAGAAACAGAGTAAGGAAAGTGCGACCGAAATTTCGTTTTTCGTTCAAATAGAGTAGGCGTACTGTACCCCTAGCACGAACCGATATCGAATTCGTATCGTTTGCGAGTCCGAAATGTCATTGTCAAATGTGTATCTGCTGCTGCTGTTCAAGTTTCCATTTCGGTTTGAAAACTATTCGAATTCGATAATGGTTCATGCTAGGGGTACAATACTCCTAAGAAGTACGTAACGAGAACTAAAAATCAGTACACATTTGACAACGACATTTCGGACTCGCAAACGATACGAATTCGATATTGGTTCGTGCTAGGGGTACTGCTCCGAGAAAAACAGCGACGACACGTTATCACGTAAAATTATCGTCCGTAAACCGACTTTACCCATTTTTTGAGAGTAATAAACTTATGATGGGAGAGAAATCAAATGATAGCACACATTTCATTTGTTACGATAGCCATAAAATATAAAATAACGTTTTTTTCCCATGCATTCATTGTCATACTTGAACTCCATGCTATTCGATAACAGAAAGTTGGTTAACGCAATTAACATAAAAAACATAATAGATAAGTTTTTATATTCATAATAGTATTGTGTTCTTCGGGTAAATCCTATTAATATTAAAAATGTGTAAGTTTGTGTTGTACGTTTGTGACTCAATTGTAAAAAATACAAAAATAAAAAAACATGCTGATCTCGTCTTGAAACAAAAATAGGAAACATGACATTTTTTAACAAAATTACGATTTTCTTGAATTTTATTACTTCGTATTGCCTCCTCGTGCTTCCATTGCTGCGTTTACCCGGTTTGGCATGCTGTACACCAAGTTTCTTATACGATTTTGGGGAATATTCTCCCATCCCTCTGATAGAGCAATTTTGAGCTCACGAAGCGTAATTAGGGGAAGGGTTTCGTTGTTTTACGCATCTCCTTAGCTCGTCCCAAGCATACTCGATCGGGTTGATATCCGGGATGCGTGCTGGCCACTCCATACGAGTAATGTTCATCTCTTGAAGGTAGTCATTCACAATCCTGTATAAGGTCGGGCATTGCCATGCATAAAAATAGAATCCTCGCCCAAATTGACCATAGATGGACCAACCTTCATTCAAGATTTCCACATATCTTTCGCTAGTTAAAGAGTCGTTTTCTATGAACACCAGTTCTGTGAGACATTTAGAAGAAACTCCGGCCCACACAAGATCAGACCCACCACCGTAGGCTATTTTTTCTTCGATGCATGCTTGCTTGAATCTTTCCCCAGGTCTTCTATATACTCTGTGTCTTCCATCGTGCCTGTAGAGCATAAATTTTGATTCGTCGAAGAACATAACATTTGACAAATCATCAATAGTCCAATTTAAATGGTTCTGGTTATATCTTAGTCTTGAAATACGATGCCCACACTCTAGTTTAGGGCCGTTCGCAGGTCTAAGTGGTTTCAAGCTAGCTTTAGCAAGTCATCGTCTTACTGTCCATGCGCTTGGGTTACTTCCTCCGAGGCGTCGGAACTGATTTGTAATTTCAGTTCTTGTGAGAAAGCGATTTCGAATTATGGTGTTCACCAAGTATCGATCTTCTCGTGCTATGATACACCTGGTTCTGCCTGTTCCTGGTCTGCGTAGGTTAGAGCCAATTTCCTCGTAACGTCGGAGAACTCTTTGTACTGTTGACAGCGACACACCGACAGTCCTGGCTGTATCGCGCTGACTCCGACCGGTTTCCAGCGTTGTGAGAATTCTGGTGCATTGTTCAGGTGTAACCGACATGATTACAGCTTGAATAATTAATATTGAAGACTTTCGACATGGTTTATATGAATGATAAATGACAAAATAGAAACACAAGCAAAAATAAATGCAGTAATTTCGTAGTTCCATCTTCGAAAGTCTCCCTTTTTCAAATTTGTTTTTTTTTTATTACTTTACTATAACTAAGAAGTTTTAATATCTTTATTTAACGAATATTTAATTGTCTATTAATTAGAATTTATTTCATTAAGCTATCATTCTTAGTTTGCAAGATTTTTAGGATTCTTGTAGTGTCCCGGATTCGTTGCTCTCGAGTGTATTATTTTATGTAATGTTTTCATTATTGTAATTAGTACAAAATAGTACATATTATTTTAGTTACTAAGGCCCACTTGCAGAAATCCGGCTTTTTATTTTTGTTTAACCTTACGCCAAAACTGTATTGAATGAATTGTAGATGATTATAACATAACCCTATTTTTATTCAACCTTTTGACGTTTACGATAACTGGCTTTGTCAAAACCCAAAACCAAACGCTGAAGTTTACTCTCGTTGCACTGTAAATTAATTCAATAGACTTTATGAAGCCTAAACGGAGATGTCCTTGCCTCGGATGTAGTTGGTAACAGCAGTTGGTCTTAACATCAAACTTCAAAGTCGTGATCATAAATAACATCATGATTATAATATATCTCTTACCTTTATATCTATATATAATATATCTTTTACCAAAAAAATATTACTGAAAGCCCTTATAAGTTTTATCTCTGATAAAAATGAACTACTTACTAGCGACTAATAGTTTGATACTGAAATACTTAATTGCGTTAGTCTCGGATGTTTTAATATCAACCACTCCGTATTTAATGCGTCAATTGTGCCTTATTACGCAAATGGAAAAGATTACAATCTTGTTTGAGATTATCAGGCATTTTTCAATGATTTAATCAGTGTCATTGTAGCCGAAAAGCAAAACCCATTACACAACACTTTTTATTAACATTTATGTACTGTAGTTTATGACATAGATACCTCTGGGTGTTGGCAGAGGATCAAGGATGCACTAACCTGTTACGAATATAAATTGATACGTATGAGATGCATGAATTAGCATGAATACTCATAACAACATTTTCAATTCCACATTTCCTCTTTTGGCATCAGCAAAAAGTTATTTGTGACCTGTGATCCGATAGTGAGAGCCGTATAATACACTGCACAGCAAAGAAATCTGGTCACTTGCTACCTTGGAACTCTTATTTGATTTTCTCTAAAAGTATAGACGACTTAGCCGAAACAACAACGAGAGATCGGTTATAATATGAAAAATAGTTTCAAAAAAATTATATCTATATAAATTGACTTCATTTTTTGAGATAAAATCTTTTTAGTCACTTTCTAAAATATATTAAACATAGGAGGCCTATGTTCTCAAAGGATTTCCATACATAATGGTCTTGCGCTTTCCACATCCAGTAGATCCCCCCGACTCGCTTGATCTCGTCATTCCACCAGGTTAAGGGTCTACCGTCACTGCGGTTCCCGGGGCGAATTCACCATTTTAAAGTACAATTTGGACAAACGTGTGCTACACAAATTAGCATTGTTACATCGTTGTGATTTCTTGTTTTTTCATAATCGGAATCATGCTCACTTATTTTAACAAAGTCTACAGATCTCTCTCAATTCAGACTTCTCCATGGTTTCTACATCTATAGCCGAATAGTAGCTATTTTCTATGAAATATTGTAAAAAAATGTTAATAAAGTTTAACAAAATGATGATTACGTATTTAGTCGCCACCGTGTCCAGAGGACCCACACTCAGCTTTTCTTTCCTTACCACTTTTTACACGAAACAGGCTGACTGTCGTTTGAGATCATCATCTGCCGTGTTACAGTATCGTTTAAAGGCACTAAAAGCGACAACGTTGTAAACACAAATAGTACTGAGTCCGTTGGACCCATTAGCAAGTCCTTAAGTGTTAAAGCTACATCGGGTATGATCGATCTTTGACAAAGGGATGAGGTAGTATAAATTCTGAAATTAACCTGTTCATTTTTTAAAGAGCGTAATTACTTTTTATTAATAATATACATAAACTTCCATCATCATTTACTGCCTATTCATATCCTAACTGGCCTTTTCTTATCGGCGGAATATGGAGTGTGGGACTTGTTCCACTTGGTCTTGACCACTACGTAGGACCAGTACGAATGATACACGGAGGATCTCAAGATGTTAAATGTTTAACACCCATCCTACGACCAACCATTGCGAAATAACTTAACTTCCACGATCACAGAATGACAGCGCTAACCTTAAGGCTATGAAACTTTCTACGATTATATAAATTTTACATGTTTTTACATGTACAACAAAAGTTGTGAATCGGACGTAATTTACATTCCAGAGTTTCAGTCAAGGGCTTGTCGTTTTATTTTAGTACTGAGAGAAATTGGCGAAAACTCATTTCTCTTATTTGGTTTTGTTTACCGATTTGACAACATTAATTTTATTCACAGATTCCGTTATTTGGACTCCACTTCGTATTAATTCCGCTTGTACCACAACCGAATACGCCAGGGGAAAGAGTTTATCAAGTTGTTTCTGCATTGCTCACTAGCTTACAGGTAAGATAACTATATTAGGGCCCGCTCCCTCATTTTCTTGTATAAACCGTACTAAACAAAGTTAATATAATACTTAAACAAAAACAACTGTTATGAGTACCTAATCTATGTGGTAATCATGTGCTAAATATAGCTAACAAATCCCTATAACCCCTCGTTTACACCAAGGTATAATACCTGCATTAAACAAGTTTTAAACAACTTCTTAAATTATTGTTCACACATAAGTGTGTATATAAATACATATATAAAGCATGTAGTATACAATACTTGCATAAATCTGGCTGGATAAACAAAATAAGTGAAAAAAAACTTTGCTATCAGGTAGATTATCAAATTGTACACGTATTTTTTTATTTATTCACATAATCAAAACATAAAAGAGATATGTGGATTTGAAATGTCGCATGACGTTATGACTTGGTACAATTTTTTCTTACAAGTGACGTCAGGAGCCGCCGCTCCCAAATTTTGACGCGCGATTGTCATTTTTCGGTCAATGACAAAAGAAAAAATACGTGTATTATTTTTTCATAACTTAACTAATGGACTAAATAGAGTTTCGTTTGCTTTACCCCGTCATCATGCCTTTTAACCAAACATTCATATTTTTAAAATTAAGTCAGGTACTAGGTATTCAATACATATAGAGTGAGATCCTATTCAACCCAGACTTAGGTGATTCTAAGAAAGATGAATAAGAGTCGATGGTATAATATAAACTTAGAAACATGAATTCTCGCTAACTGAAAGCAGGGCCGTTTCACAGGTAGCAGGTATGAAAGGTGGAAAAAAAAATGCAAACTAACGTCGCTTACCTCTATAAAGCTGTGTTTTACTGAACAAAACGGTATAATTACATAAAATTAAAAATTTACAGGAGCTGTATAAAACTGAATGACATACCTACAGTGAGCTTTAGGTATGATTTTAAATTTTAACACTGTTTGAGGCAGTTTTGATCGAAAATTATTTAAGATTCAAATTCAACGAGCCCGATACCTCCAGACTGTAAAAAAGAAAGTAATTTGACCAGATACGTAATCATACCGTTTTGTTCGCCAGCTCCTCATATGTTATATTTATATCCCACCAAAAACATTTTCAAGTATAATGTTGTCAAGACGAGACCATATGACTCGCACTGTCAAAAAGTTATCAGATCTCATGTAGAGCCAAGCTTCTAAACCTACACGCCCTAATTTCGCAATTTCCACACCTTAGTCTAAAAATATATGAACCCACCAAGAGAACTTTAGCTAGGAGCAGCTCAAGTTCAGTTTAAGCGAATTTCATAATCTCATTCAAAAACAATACTTATTTATTAATTTAACGTAAAAAAAAAATCATATAGGTATAATTGAAAGCTTAATGTCACGCAAGATGTATGGCTGTTCCAAATCGGAATTTCTAGAAATGTTTGATGTGCTCTACTTGTCATGTTTATTCGTACTCTTGATTTGTGTGATTGTGTGACAGCGCAGTCAATAAACTACAATCATTTCTTTTTAAGCTTGTATAACAAATTATATTGGAGCGCACTTAAAAGCGAATCCGACTTAGGATTCGAAAGATCGTCAAAATCACAGTATATTATAATCTTGTATTTGGTTTTAAAGTCTACAATATTACTTCTTCTTCTCAACGTGAAAGCCATTTTCAACGGTAAAACAATATCAATGCCGAATTTCAATTACTCAACGTCCTAGCGAAAACATACAGAACATTTGGTGTCCGATCGTTATAATACGGCGGCACTGTACACTTTTTAGTCTAAGAAAGTCTAAAAAAATGTCGCGAAATTTTCAGAAGCCAGCCTCCCATCTATTAAATTACATGTATTGTAGACTTATGCGACCCGTGATTCTTTCAAATCAATTTCAAAATAGACGCTCTAAAACTCTTCCGAAAATCAACTACTTTTAATGGTGCAGCATTGCCCCATTAAAAGTACACCGCCACCGCCGTAAATTCTTCATGGATATATGGATCTATAAAAGTGTTCGTTTTATCTTCTGTTTGATTTGACTAAGTTGATATATTTTGAAGATGTTTGAAAGTAAGAACATAAGTTGACTTGACTGACAACAGCGTTCCTGCGCAAGTTAAAAAATTAAAAATCAAAATCACTTTAATGTTGGCAATCAATTTTGTAAGGCAGAGGCTACTTATCACCTTTAATCCGTGTCTTACCGCTTTGACCCACTTTCTTGGTACCAAAGCTAATTTATTTAGTTCCGTAGTACCCCGGACTAAAAATTAATCAATGTCGTTAAAACTGACAGGTCCAGTCGGGATGGAGTGACGGATGCACCAATTCGAGCGAGTGATCCGCTATGCCCACTCTAGGTTTCCTTCCTGGCTTTAAAAGTTACTCATTATTTTTGTATAAACTTAAGCAAGCAGTTTCATGTGACTTGGTCTGCAAAGATGTTTTTATTTAGTCCCCATATAAAGTTTCCTACCCAATTTCACTATTAAACGTCCTTCGATGTTGGTTTCCTCACTAATATCTTCATCAAAATAGTCAACAAATAAACTGTGCCTCAAGCTTAATAACATCAAAAACAGATGCACACTTTAGTTCTATTTAACCAATGATATTGTATTAACCACTTTATACATTCATTAGTTTCAGTTGCTACTTATTATTTTTTCTTATTCTTCTAAGGATACCTACTTTTAAATTTTTGCTCGTTTATTTAAATTCAAAAATACATTTCATTTCAACAACATAATTGTCGTGTTCGTTTAGGAATTGGCTTCCGATACACAAGCTTTATTTTATTCCAGGGATATTGATTTGTTAATTGGTGAGGTTGGTTAGAGATATTGTTAAATTTATTGGATAATTTGTGTGTTGCGTGTAATGACGCGGCAACATTGTAAGGTCTGTTTCAAAATACTCCCCGATAATCATTAGTTATATTTTATGTTTCATCGTGCGACCATATATTCACCAGATTATTCACGTGGTTCACATTATTAGGTAATGGCGATGCCTAATTCAATTCATTTAACTTTTTTTTCGCTTTTTTTAACTTACATAGGTAAAGGTAACATCGTATAATGCATGCTGTGGCAGCCGTTAATTTGTATAACTTGGAATGAATCTATCTAATCTTGTGTATAAATTGTATGAAATGATGTTCGAGTTTTCTCTTAATAAATAAAATGAAATAGCCTGTTTAATTTTAGATAATTTCAAAGTTAATTGAAAAGGTCCCTAAGGGACAACTTGCAAACCCGGTTAATTCCTACCACATGGTGTACCCTTTTTTCCTGTCATGTGGAACTCGGGCATGACACGTGCGAGTGAGGCTACCCACAAGATTTCGCATTCCACACGCGAGTGGCATACGAAATGATAGGATGACTCTCGCATGCGGGTCAACTCTTAGCACTCATACACATTACATTTTAATACTATTTTTTTGGCGTTTAAGTGCGAACGATCGCACGCAATTGCATACTAAAATGAAAAAGCTATCTATGCGGTAAGGTGGCCACGCGTGTGGTTGCGTGAGAGTAAATTTGTATCATCATGCAGATTTCACCGCACAAACTCACGGACCTGCAGTATAACTAGTCTGGCCATAAATACTACATAAAAAACTATACGTGTTCCAAATTCAAAATATTTATTTTGAAGTTGGAACCCGTATATTATTTTCCTTTTTTTCCCCTTAGATTAAAACAAAAAGGGCAGATACGGCACTAGCCTCACAAAAGTGATCCGCATGAATTGTGGTCCACGACCCTAATCGCTTTAGTCACAACTTGACATGCAAACGACGTACATGTGAACGCTAAAAAGAAATATTACTAATATTTTGTGTGTATATGCTAAAACAATGCCTAAGTGTGTTTTTAAAAAGTGCTCAAATTGCTCAAGAACTAAAAATAAAACCCACGCGCACGGCATCACTTTTCATTCGTAAGTACTATAAAATATGTTTTTTCATAAAAATTGCTGTTTGTTTTGAATCTTATTCGGTAGTATAACGTCGAGTACTGGTCGCGTGATCGGGCGGTAGTGCAGTGACGCGGATCTCGCCGTCTCGTTCGCGCTGCCGTTGAAACAACGTGCTATTTCGTTCGGGTCGGTAATGCAGTGACGCGGATCTCGCCGTCTCGTTCGCGCTGCCGTGGGATCAGTTTTTGTTTGATGCAAGTATGTGCGTACCGTATCTACCCTTTTTGTTTTAATCTAAGATTTTTCCCTATTTTGCGCCATTTCACATATTTTTCGTGTTCATTGTCAAATTCTTTTTTTATTTTTCATTTTTAGGGTAAAAGGGAATACACTACTGGTTGGAAATTTTCCACGCTTAGACCGATAGCAAGACCGCGCTTATGTGGGACACTACCAGTAATACCAGTATGTTATGTACCCTTCCCTTCCCTTTCCTTTCCCTGATAAATACGAATTTATATACCGAAAACCCCATTCAAATCGGATCAGTAGTTTTGAGATAAACAGCGAACAAACATATATACACACATGCAACGTCAACTAAGAACATCCTTTTTTGAAGTCTCTTAAAAAACTGTCTTTTAGCATACAAATATTCTAACTTTTCTTTGTTTACCTATTTTTTAAGGCTGCTGGTTTATTGTTTAGATTATACCACACTAACCTAGCTTAGCCCGCTGAACACAAACAGTAATTATGCTTAAAGAAATTATGAAGAATAACATTTCGCCAAAGGTAATTATGCCTATTAAAATTCTGCCATATTAACAGAATGCCATTGTGAATTCGGACGTATTAACATTCGGCCAAACATTAATTTATTAGTTATATTAACCAAAAAATATGCCTTTAAAGTAGCTACACCAACTCGCTGGTAGTTGCTTCATCTTAGAATTTAGAGTACAAAATATTATTTTTTAAAGTTTAAATATTTCCATGCGAAACTAGCTACATGGAACTGTGGGGAATAAAGGGCGAAAGAGATTGGCACTAGTTATCGAATATCTGCATTCTCTCTGAGAAAAACCTAATATTGTGAAATTATAATAGGATCGAAGTACGTGAAGGAGAGGCGGAACGCAGAGCACGAAGCCATTGCATTAGAAATCGGTACGTAAATCCAATTGCATTTGCGAATGTGCTCTGCGAACTGCTTGCTCGAAAATTGAACTTTTTTATTAGTGCAGTCATTGAAGCATTATTGCTCCGAATTTTTTTACTGTGAACCGAATTGCATACAATTTTGGAATTAGGTTCATCTTACCCTTAATTTCAAAAGTGAAAATGATTTGATCTCCGCAACCACCCTGGGGATGGTTGCCACCCCTTCTCGGGGGTGATTTTTTTTTCAAAATAACTTCGGATATCGATAGAAGGCCTAATTTGAAGAAAAAAATCATATATAAAGTTTTTCAAAAAATCCAATACTTTTCAAGTTACTGGCAATTGAAAATTCGCAATTTCTTCACGTTTTTCATCGGTTTTTTGCAAATATCTCCAAAAATATACGTTTTATCGAAATTTTATAAAGAACGAAATTGTAACAGGTTTATCAATGAACAATTTGGTTTCTTATAAAGTATTATAAGTGCAATATTAAACTAGATATTAAAGATCAAAGCCGTTTTTTATTTTGTCTGAAATTAAATCGATTTGGTCAATGCCATCTAGCGGCGAGCAGATGCATTTTATGCATTCTAATACAAAAGAGTTTTGTAGTACTTGAAATAAGCTTTAAAATGAGCACTATTAAAAGTCTTTTGCACGTAAAATAAGTGAGCTGTATTGCAAATAAGGGCATCTAATGTTTTTTCTTTTAAATGAATGGGTTTCATAAGTGCCATTTCCACCAAAATTAAAATTAATCGTATTCCGCCTAGAATTAACTTTATTATGAAAAGTTTGATAGATAGTATCAGTTTGGCTGCTTCAGGACACATATTTTTCAAAAAAGTCACGATTAAAAAAAACAACATTTCAAATTTTTAAAAAACCCACTTTTTTTCATAATATCTCAAAAATGACGACAGATACGTATAAAAGTGTATGGATTAAAAATTTAGGTATTTTTCTGACAAACAATTTGGTTTTTTTGTTTTTTCTGTCAAACAAAAATTGACGGAGATATGATTGTTTAAAGAGCGCGTGGCAGCCTCTCTTAAGCTCTTTAACCCTTCACCGTTTTAGAAAAAGGATTTTAACTATATATTGCAATGAAGGATGTTGTAGCCCTCTTAATTACCTTTACAATGGTTTTTTATAAATTGTGATAGCATGAAAATTGAAGGTCCAATCATATTTTTTTCTACTTAGTAACTGAAAATTTCGGAGTGTGAATATTTGGAGCAATGTCAAAGTACGCAGTATAATAGAGACCCACAACTATTGTAATGTGTATATATATATATATACACATAATATGGCTCATATATTTTGGAAACGTAGGCATGAATACATAGCAACGTTCTTATATGTATATATAACACATTTGAGTGAAGGGGCCAACGAAAATAATAGTACAATTTTATATAATTTGTAAATATTTTTATTCAATAAATGGCAATTTTTTACTCTAAATTAAATTATTTTTAAATATGTAATCATGTATATTTACTGTTTTAATTTAGGGGTAGTTTTAAGGGTAGAAAAGCCTAAGAATATGATAATCATTTTCGAGAGGATGGAATAATATTTAAATCCTTTTCATTTTATCAAAAAATTTTTTTTAACAATTTTTTATCAAGGGGTAGTTTTCAAGGGTTGAAAGGGGGTTAAAATTTTGATTATTATTATAGAGAATATAAAAAATTACTTACTTTATACTTACATCTTTTTATGTCATACCAAAGTATTTTTTTGTGATTTTTTCAATTTAGGGGTTGTTTGCAAGGGTTGTAAGATTTTCAAGGGGTTGAAAGTGATTTTAATATGAGGTTATTATGTTATAAAATACTTCACAATTTCACCACTTACTATTAGACATGCTTTCTAGCGATAAAATGGCTCAAATGTCAATTTTTCCATTAAGGGGTTGTTTACACCCCTTAAAAATAATTGGCGGAGTTCAGATCATTTTCACTTTTGAAGTTAAGGCCTGATGAGCCTAATTCCAAAATTTCATGCAAATCGGTTCACAGTTAAAAAATTCTGAGGTAAGACCGTATTTTTCGCTTCAATGACTGCACTATATGGGAAGTAAGACAAAGGTCCGATCAAATGATTTTGCCGTACCTACCTGATTATAATGGACCCGGAAGTACGAAAGGAATATACTTAGAATAAAAACACGCTTAGTAGGCTGAAATTTGTTGTACCTGCTGCTAAATTTGCGTTAAATTCATATCAATGCCTTTAAAAAAAAATATTATTGCGAAAATCAAGAAAAAACACAAAAAATTTGAAATTAGTTGGTTTATAAATGTTGAATGATTTTATATATTTTGATCCAACAAATAAATAGCCAATCGTGTGAAACAGGGGGCAGGTCAAGTAGTAATGAATAAAAATCCATAATCCATTAAATTCTAATATTATTTAATAAATAAAATATTTTCAACACTCACACCAATTAGCCTAGCACTCACTCCAAAGTAATCACTGTAAGGCTTCTGTTATGGGATACTAGGGTAACGGATAGAATACATATATTTTACATATATAAGTATATCTATATAGAAATACATATCAAACATCCATGACTGGAGTACAAATACTCGTATTCATCACACAAACATCTGCCCCCACCAGGATTCGAACCCGGGACCTCTCGAGTCGGCAACACCATGAAACCCGGAAACTACTCGGCCACTGAGGTCGTCAAATTATTATTGGTATATGTCTTATACCTATACAGAGCAATCCAAACAAACCACGTAAAGAAAACGGCTCATCTTACGCGCGATGTGTACGTGATTCTAATGTCAGATTGTTCGAAAGACCGCGGTTGGTAAAAGGACTAAATAAATAGTTTGAAATTGCAGCGCTACCGCTTACATATCTGTCCTTTTGATGCGAAGGTGCGGTTGAACATGTTTATCTATAGAATAGGGTCAAGTGGGGTACAGTGTAACAAGTGGCACAGTATAACATAAGGAATATCTCTATCCTTTTCTTATTTGACTATGGTCTGTCTTGACGTGTTTTATTAGTTTTATATGCTGCCATCTTGCAGCTGCCATCAGAACTCAAATAGCCGGGTATAATACAAAGATACTCCTTATGTTACACTATGCCCCTTGTTACCCTGTCCCCTTTCTGACCCTACTTAAGTTGTTTTACTTTGAAATAGCCAAAAGGTTAGTCGACATCACTGGAGACCGAAGAGCTGGCAGCTACCTCGGACAAAGAATTAGTTTAGCTATTCAAAGGGGGAACGCTGCCAGTATCTTCGAAACCTTGCCTAAAGGGACTCCTTTTAATAATATATTTTAGTTATTATATTATATTTTTTAAGGTTTTTAGTTTTAGGTTCATTGTTCGTGTATATATAATTATGTTTTTTAATCCATAAGTTTGTATGATTTAAGTTATTATTACTAAATGAAAATATATCTAGTGTATTATTGCAGATATGTATACTTACGTTGTTGTTTTACGTTTTAGTATTAATACATTAAGGATGCTGTAAATACAAATTCAGCATAAGCTCGCGAGCGCGCGAAGAACGGTGCCACTTTTTGCGGCATCCATTCAATTTCATAACCATATACATTTTGTATTCACAGCGTTCCGTCCAAGAGCATGCGACCGTTTCTATTTTAAGTCCCTATTAATAAAATCGTTAAAAATTATAATAAGAGCTGTACTTGTCACCAGGGTCTTTGCGTAGCAGTACTATTCTGTTTTACGAACCACGACGTGATTTTAGTACTGAAGGCCACCGCTGCACGACTTCTGAAGACTAATGATGGCATCGCCATGACAGGTGAGCTTTAGATTTAAATGTACGAATTATTTGGCCAAACGAAAAGCATTTGACAAATATTTTCGGCAACTCTGGGTTAAAATCTAAATTAACTTCTTACCCTACTGCTTAAAGCGCTTATTCCACCTGTCTAAATTCAGCCGTTCTAAATCATTCAGTTACTAATTCAGTCAAGTGAAATAGCATTTAGGAAGTTAGGATCCTAATTAGCATCCTAAATCGAAAGAAGTGTGGCTTCTGACTGACTAAATCATTTAGTATCCTAATTATAACGCGATTTAGGAAGGTGTAATAGCATTTAGATGCTTCAATCGCATCGCAGGTGTCACTGCGTAAGGACATGTTGTGTCTACGATTACGAATTACGCGAGTGTGCGATGTCGACGGTAAAAGAAAAAGAAGTTATCAGTATCATAATCGAATTGTATAAACATATGCCGTATCTTTGGAACAAAAATAATATTAATATTCTTTCACCCACGTTTTTCGTTTTTTACTTTATTTTATTTTTATTGAGCCAACGGCCAGGCCTACAAGAAGACAGATTTTTTGTTGCTTTGACAGGACTGGAGCCATTACGAAAAAGTCCGATTGAATTAGCCGCGCGCTTGTAACTGACTGAATCAGTAACTAAACTAGTCAAGTGTAATCAGAAGCTTCTAATTAGCCTTCTTTTTAGGGCGTCTGAATTTAGTCAGGTGGAATAAGCGCTTAATGAAAAGTCTACTTACATCTGTTAAAATTAGAAAAGATTTTCCATTAACAAATTAGAATTATATTAGCTCTTATTATTTTTTTAAATCAGTATATTGCATGCTTTTTATAGATAAAGATTTTGTTTTAATCCTCAAATTGTATGGCTTTTATCTGGTTTATTATTTTTTCAGGAGTCAAACATTTTTAATAATACCTTACGTTATTCCAGGTGTGACCGCTGGAGAGAGCTTAATGAATACGAGAGAGAATGTTGTATGAACTAATTGTACTTTATTATGTATAGGTATTTATATTTTATCCAAAATGCAAGTGTTTCATTGAAAATATTATTATGAGTTCTATAACATTTCGACGTACCTACAACTCGTTGCAGAAATACTGCAAATATATGGACCGGACGGGGGAAAAGTTTCTTCATACTTTTACATTAACTCGAGACTCTTATTTCCAAAGTTCATTCAGATTTTATCAGGATAAATTACCTACATATGCGCCATTTTGTTCAGTTACTTGTTTCCATTTTCCCGGAAATGGCATGTCGTTGTTGTAGAAATTTTGCAACTTTTGGTCAAAAATTGCGACTACAACTTTTGACTGTGCTCTCTTGATGTATACTTTACGGCGCTTAAGCAGAAAACGAGACAGAAATAAACAGAAATAAAGATAAAACGGATATAAATATGGAATGGGGCTATACGGTGGATGCATTAATAAGATACGAAAGTATCCAAACTCTTTCAATGGAGGACGGGTAAATGTACCCACCGGCCAACAAGACCAAATATATGTCATCGGAAAGCTGTTTTCAAGACAATTATTTGTTACTATGGGATCTAGTCTCAATTCGCTGTGGGATAATAGTTATAGCTAAATGAAATAAAAAAAAAGAAGAAGGGGGCGGGTTCGAGTCCCGTCCGCTGTCTGGTCCGCGTGGATTTTTTTTCTAGTAAAACTTTTCTTTAGATTTAAACATCTAGCAGTTAAATGCTTAAAAAAACAAAACTAAAAAAAGTATTTTATTTTTGTTTCTTTTTTTTGCTATAACTTTTATTTACCACAGCGACTTAAGACTTGTCACTATGGTGACAAATAATAGTCATAAGAAGTGCTATCTTACAACATATAGCTAATAATTATTAATCGGTGGGTATATAAATAAATAAGTAAATGAATATTTCTAACACACACACCAATTAGCCTAGCCCCAATGAAGGCAATGAGGCTTGTGTTATAGGATACTAGGGCAACGTGAATACATAATCGGATATATGTTAAACTAAGTGTAATTTTATTTAGAAATTCTTTTTTCTGTACGTTTGTATGAAAAATCTTATTGCTTCAGTTGATAGACTTGAAACTTGTCACGAATATTTATCTGAATAATGAATAAAGTTTTTCATTTTTAGTTTTCCTAAATTACTCTATATAAGGGGATTAGAAGGTGCCGAAGTTTTCATATAGGTAACTTTTAACGCGCATTCGATTAACTCGAAACTCAGTATTTGTTCTTAAGAATAGAGTACTCGGTATAAAGAATGACCATGTATCAGAGTTCTTCGATTTGAATCTCTACGGCTAGTGGGGTGAAAAGAGATTTTTATTAGGAAGTATTTTAGTGCAGGACTTGCGAATTTGGGTAAAATTTGGCAGATATATAGTTTATTACCTGGATTGAGACATAGGATAATTTTTACCCCGAAAAAATGTTAGGTTACTGAGGGATTTTCAAAAAACGAAACTTAACGTGGATGAAGTCGCGGGCGGCCGCTCGTATATAATAAACATCCATGAATTTAGTACAAATGCTCGTATTCATCACACAAACATTTGCCCCACTAGATTCGAACCCAGGACCTCTAACCAGCCGCCTCGCTAAGTAATAACGTAAAAATCTTATTTTTATTCGCCTAGTTCACGTCCGCCATGCCGTCCGAAAATTGGTTGCTCCCTCCCCTACACCAAAATTAAAATGTAAATTTGTCTTCTCGACCACCCCATGTTGTGAGATCTGGTCGTTTAAAGGTCTCTCAAAACAATGTTATAATTTAGTAATCCGTTTATGTCACTCGTTTAATTCCACCTTTATATTGGTGTCGTAACCAGCAGTATATAAATACAACAACCAAAGAGATTTAGGGCCAATTGCACCAAAACGCTTGATTCAAATTAAGGTTTAATCGTGTTTAATACATCATTTTTATCTCTGTCAATAGTTTGAAGTGATACATTGAATAAGGCTTAAACATGATTAGCTTTTGATTTAAGAACTTTGGTGCAAGTGGGAATTAATTAAGTAAAACTTGAATACACACAAAATACGCATAGAGCCACAATGACGCAGAGGGAAACGAAAAGACTTTTTCCCCGACCTTATAAAAGTTTAGTTGTTATATATAAGACATTTTTAGTTTCCACCGATAAATTTTAAGCCTTTGATGTAATATTATTAAGTGTTTAGAGACCTTAGAGGCAATAAAAACTGGCCAAAGGGGGAGTCTTGTCTCGGCGCAGGAGCCCTCACTCAATTAGGGTTCCGTACAATGAAGTACCTAATCCTGGTCTTGAACCTACCTAATATCACTGACTTATGAAATAGTTCGTTTCCTAACTAAACATAGCAACGTACCGCGAAAAGAATAGTACATTGTTCACCGAGAGGAGAAAGTGACCGATTACCAACGAGGGTGTAGTCAAGGACCATAACTTGGGAATAGCACTTTCTTTCGAGGGATACATTGTGCTTTATGCTATACCTGCGAGGAAATAAAAGGCAAATTATTTCATTGAAATTCATATTAAAGTTAAATTTATATTATTTATGTTACAGTTACTAAACTTTTGCCTGCTTGCTTTATATTGGTTTCTTGATTTCACATGTAATAGGTTTTCAAGGACTGCTTAGGTATTTTCTTAACATAAATAAAAAAAACAGCACGTTAACAATTAATTTCCGTAGACGTTTTCTCACCGCTCAGCGCGTTAGAAATAGATTTCCCTACACTTTTCCAGCCCGCTTAGGAGAACAATAGTAATTTATTTTCTGCTTAATTTTTAAAACAAGAATCAAGCACTTTCGGAGAAGGTTTAGTATAAAAATCATATGTTTGTTTTCGTCACACCTTACAAAGTACATTATAAATTAGCGTTTTCAGTATTTGTGATTAAATTAAGCATATGATGCTCCATCATTTAAAAACATTTCATATTCTTATCTAGTTTCGGTTTAGAGATAGACCCTAAACAACAATTGTCTCCCGTTACAAAATTGTCTAAAAATCACATTCATGGCCCCCAATTCTTTGTTATTAAAAAAATTTAATGATATCCTGCTCAAAGAGCTCTAGACAATGATATATCACATTCACTTCACATGCTGGGGTAAAAAAAAAAACAATTAATTTCGTCTCCTTTATTTTTTTTAATTTCGAATTTTCAACTAAATATTTATTCGGCTTTGGGCATTGCCAAAATTTCAGTTCTGTAACTCAATCCGTTTACAATCTACGTGACAAATGAACAGCCATTCAGTCAAAGGACAGAGTGACAGCAACAGGGTTCCGCCTTTAGTTACGGAACCCTAAAAACCGACATGTACATCGGTAGAGTAAAGAGAAAATAAATATTTTACTTCTTTTTTCATGATAGACGAGTGGCATTATTTTCAAATCGTTTGAATGTCAGCGTGAACTTTGAAATTTCAATAAACAAAGAAATTCTTGTCCTTTTCTGTTTTCAAATATTGGGTTGTGTTGTTACTTAATTAACGGGCTATGAAAATTGCTCATTTCCTAGTTCCCGATCCTACCCTACCCAGATCACTCGGCCCAGTTCCAGGTTTAGGTGTACGCTGTGTAAATCTACCAATAAATAAGCTAAGTTTAGAACTGTACAAATCAATCTGTAAAGGTCTTATGTAGATCTAGGAAACACAATTATGCAAGACACATTTCCTTAATTAGTTAAAGGTATATATGTACTCGTAAGTTTTATATGTATACTACCTACCTTTTTTTGCCCCTGTCCCCACTCTATTTCCTCTCTCGTTTCTTCTACTTCCTTCTCTATTATACGAACCGTCTTCTACTACTCTCATCTCGAGGGCAGAGGAAGGATACACTATACATCTGACCAATAGGGAATATGAATGATTATTTTTATATATTTATTTCATTGTTTACTCCCTTGAAAAAATAGTGTAATGTGTAAAAAAATGTTTTTGCATAGGCATTTTAAACGCTCGCTATTTTAAACTATTGGTGTGACGTCACAGTCTAACCTTGTTTGGTTTTTTGCTCGTTGCTCAAAATTAGGTTAGGTGCAGGCGCACTACATATCGCCATATCCTGTAAAAATGGCGCGTGCTTGTTTATTTGTTGTTATGTATTACTACGTCAAAACCGCTCTGTGGCGTTACAGATATATGAATTTCCCAGAAGTTTTTCGCACGTTTCAGTAATTAATTTCTTGCTCAAAGAAAAATTTGATTAAATAATATTAATGGAGGGATAATTCAAAAGTAACAGAGTTTATAGACTGAGCATTATTGGAATTATATGCATATTCGCTATCACTTGCTTGCTTGCTTGCATGCATATTCGCTATTGCTCAATAATAATAAGAAGCGGAAAAAAACGTTTAAAGTTAGCCTTAGTGGTCTCTAACGTTCGGCCACTTATCCAATAAAACATATTGAGTTATTCAAAATATTTTTTTGTGCTTTTATAGTAATTAAGTCCTTATTTACCTCGAATAAAACCCTTCAAATCAAATCCTAAACCCACATACTACCCCCTGCCACTCTACCTGTGTCACCCATTGCTAAAGATTTGCTGACAATGGGTTTTCTTATAAAAACTCAAGTTATTGATTTAGTAAGATGAATGTAATTTAATCAGGATTATTATTGGGAAGAAATAAAGTAAATTACCGGAATGAGGGTAAACATATTATTATAACAATTGTTTGAAACATTTTGCACAGTTTTACTATCAATAAAATTAAGTTTAATAATCGCGTTTTATTTACCAATAAAATATCGTTTTCGTCGATTTATGGATTATTATGTATCAACTATACTTAAACAAACACACATAACAAAGGGGCGTTAAAATCTTGTCCGGTAGTTTCGAGAAAAATAACACCTATATTCTACTAATATTATAAATGAGAGTTACTATGTTTGTATACTTGTTATACAATCACGCAAGAACTACTGAACGGATTTTGATGAAATTTGGTATGCACATAGTTTATGGCTTATCCCGGAAAAGCGTTCGGTTTTTGAGGCATTTTCGGGAAAACTTAACTGAATGCGGATGAAGATGCGGGTGACCGTTAGGATTAACTACATATTTTTTTATTTTTTTTTTTTTGCTTAAGATGTTTATATCATCTTTTTTTGATTGTATTTGATTTCAAAAGTCTGTATATTTCTGGTAGTAGTAGATATGCATTAGTAAGTAATTATTGTAATTCTTTAATGTTTTATCTCAAATCTGCCGGGTCAGATTGTGATGCCCTTTTGTATTTAAGTGAGGGTAGTTGATGTACCTACATAAATACCATAACAGAATAGGTATTGGTTCTTGGGTCACTTTCGCCCAGTCTCCTTTAACTTCTTGAACAGTTTTACTTTGAAAATCGATAAATAACTTTAAAAAAAATTAAATTTTATATTTCTTCTTCGTGTAAAATATGTCATACAGTTTGATATATTAGACGGAATAAAACAAACTTAACTGGGAAAATATCATTATTATTATTTCAACGTAAAAAAATATTATGTTTAGTACCTTAAGTTAAGCTAATAAAAAACAATGAATATAATATCCGCTATATACAAAATTATCTAGAGTCTAATTATAGTATCCACAGTTTTCAAAATGGCTACCTATCTGATTACTAGCACCACTGCAGCATTGATAAAGTTCGTCATTAAATTGATTAATGTAAGTACATCATTATTTTACAATATGAAAAATGAAGTACCTGGGTACTTCATTTCTTTTAAAACGTAATGAAAGTACGGTGCCTTAAATCTTAGAAAACAATTTCCTAAAGATCCTTTATTCTCACAAACAGATAACACGATTTGAAATTCAATTCCATTTATTTTTTAAGAATCTTAACAACTAAAGGGTAATGAGATCAGTGGCAATCAGACTTAAATTGTTTGCAATTGCAGGCGAAAATAACATTAAGAATTTGAATTAAGTTCATCTACATCACTTGTTGAGAAAAATCCCTTAGAAGTTTACAATGGATACCACTTCAAATTACCCCGTTGACAAACGTCAAAGCTATGCCCTTCTTTTAAAAGTACACACACTATCAGATCTAATCTAACTATATCAATATTTTCTTGCCACCATTACAAAATGTATTTGATTGCCGCGCAAATATCGTACACATGCTTGTCATTATCAGCACTTCAAAGATTATCACATTTATACAGACGAAATCATAGCACCATATATAAGGCGAGTTAACGTTTTTATCGTATCTTATTTAAGAAAAAGGTAACTTTTCCTCAACCTACTAAAACAACTATCAGTTGCAAATATATCTAATATTAAGTACCTACATACATCAAATCATTTGTCTTTGTTATTCCAATACCTAATCTTAATTAATAGTCAATAATACATTTTATAGAATGGCAATCAGCCTATAGCCTCGAAAATTATCCGATATCATCGTATTACAAAAATATAATACTGACACATCTCCATTAATAACGCTTAATAGTATTTGATAATTTTGTCTGGTCTATATTAAATTTATCGTTAATACTGTTTATGATAATATAGTGATTCTCTTCACTCGTAACATACTTAAATAATATGTTTTTGGTCTACATTTTAGGTATAATACAAAATGTGTTGCAACACCGCAGTTACACTAAAGTGAAATCATTATATATACATGTATGATGTATTTTCCCATGATTTTGCCTCATGACTTAACTTTAATATAATCACACGTAGACGTGATTACAATAATTAGCACATTATCGGATAGATCTTGAACAATTTTCATTTGTGTAAGTACGTTGTCACTCAGTAATTTGTATGAAAAAGTAAGGTAAAATAAATCGTATAGCTGAATCAGATATAATATCACTTAAATCATCCTCGCTTTTCTATCGAAACTGCGACATCAGGTATCAGCTATTTTAAAGTATCAGTTGATCAGAAATGCTGACTATTATTTTATGTATCTCACTAAAAATATTGTATCAGTACCTACAATCTGCAACGCATACTTAATATTTTCCTTACGACACCTACCCCAATAGTTTATACATTTTACAAAGGGTAGCAAGGGTTTGATAAGATTTTACAAATCTTGTCAATAATCATATCACAGGCAATTTTGGTTAATTCTCATCAGATTGGGCACCTTGAATCAGACCCTAGGACGACACCCGTCTCGACAAGGATAGCGAACGTGATGAAGACTACGTAAAGTACTACCAGCACTATACCGACGCTTCTCCTGAGTTTGAACTTGCCGATAAATAACGTCAGCCAGAGACAACAGACCGCGACTAGGAGAGAGCCAACTACGAAATCTATACCAGCCGAGTTGATCAGCACTGCAGTCTGCTCCTCGCCTCTGGCGACTAACGTCAAAGTCTTGATGAGCCAGGGCACCCCTAAAGCAAACAAGATTGCTAACGAGTTCGCTCCCAAAGCGTTTGAGACTCCAATACCTCCTTCACCTAAACAAAAACGTAAAGTCACTAAGAGAAACATGCGCTATCAATTCTTTATAAAAAAATGCATAGTGATTTTTCTTAGACTTTACAGGTGAAAAGTTCAGGTGGTTTATTTATCAATGAGTACATTACTACTTGTAAGTACTCTTCACAGAAATGCGCTTTCGTGAATTTCTTATCGCACCAATACCTACGACGTTTTCATGATTGTACACGAGTAACTGATATGATATAGGTAGTAAATAGCATATTGGTAGTTTCAAAACAATGAAAAATCACCATGTAATGGGTACATATTTAAAAAATAGATTTTCTAAATAAGTTAAAAATAATAGGTTTCGTATTCGCTGCATGCTAAACAAAACAAATAAAGCAAGTCACCAACAATATTATTAAAAATTAACCAAACCGAGTACGCTTTTTTATTATGAATTTCGATTATCAAATTTTAATATTGACGTGTCTGAAGCGATCTAATTATGTGTGGTAAAAATATTGAAATCGTCCTTTAATGGGCAGTGTTATCGCTATAAGTAAGGTCAAAGTCCTTGCTACTCCCAGAAATCTGTGGAACGCTTACATGGTCCTAATAAAAGAATTGTAATGGATCGGTAGCAGAGAGTGATAGGCCGAGAGCGGTGAGGAATGGACCAGGAGCGGTGTGTGATGGACCAAGAGCGGTGACTGATGGCCATAAAGGTATAAGAATAGAGTGGGGAAGGCCCTAAAAGTGTCCGTCTAGTAGAAAGAGTAAGAAGATGAGAGACGGCTGGCTCTATCTTGTGACGCATGGCATTCAATGGCATCACATCGAAATAGTAAGATGCTTACGGTTGCCAATGCGCATGCGCGATTAGAGAGAGAAAGCTAGCAGTCTCTCATCTTCTTTCTCTTTCTATTAGAGGGACACTTCCACTTGTAGTACTCTATTCTTATACCTCTAGGGTGATGGCCCGAAAGTGGTGAGTAAATGACTTGGATTGATGAGTGGTGGACTGGGAGTCACGAGTGATGGACCATTATTAAAGCGTAGCAAAACAAATTATTCTTAAAATGAAAAATATTGATCCATAATTGCGTTAACTTTTGGACACATTTGTGGAAATAAATAAATCATTCGCATAGCATTTTCCAAAAAAAAACCATAGTTACAATGTATTTGGATCATTAATATGAAGAGGGTACACAAAACTGAAAATAGCTTTCTGTTATGTATCAAAAACATATCCAACCCAAAGTCACAGATATTAAATTATACTATAAAAAAAAAGCGCGCCTCGGTTTGGTAGGGACAGAAGTCACGTTGAAAGATACAATGCGACATCGAAGTATTCGTAGTACGATTGTGACATTCGTAGTGCAATTATATCCACAATCGTATCGTTTCAGATAACTTATAGCTAAATAAATAATCCAAATACAAAGTACTAGGTACTACTTAAACTTTAATCGCAAAAAGTTACTGTTGAAACGGTTATTTGCTGTGATATATATTAAATAAATCGCAGAGATAGCTACATAGGCAGGATGAATATAAGGAACAGATATTAGACAGCTTAAAGAAATATTAGGTAGAAATGCAAGGTAAGTAGCAATCAATAGAAAGAAAATGTAATACACAAATATATCATGCTGCGTTTCTACATAAGCTCGCTCTACATTCGTTCGTACAACGTTGTTTGACTGGCCTCAGGGAACGAATACTCTCTTGGTCAGTGGGAACAACGCAACGTTGTTTTGAGCATTACATTTACCGAGCGAACAAATGTTTGCTCGATCGGAACAGTCCTTAGCACTATGTGGAAACGCAGCATTAGGCTACAAAAGGGAACAGCTCTCCTTAATCAATAACAATTTTATAATTATTTATAAAATATTATTATCGCGCAAGTCAGAGCGAATGCAACTATGCCAATTAATAATACCATGGCTACGCTCACAATCTTATCATTATAATTAATTAAAATATAATTAATATCCAAAAATAAAATTATAATCTAAGAGGATCCATCATTTACTCGATACAACTCTGACCAATTTTGTATCCGAATTTATGTGTAGAAAACTACGCCAAATTCATCGAAATTATAAAGTGAGTTTATTAACCACTTGTACCACATAAAAATGTCGGACAAACACTTATTTAATGGCAACAAAGATAATATATTATGGGAAAAGTGGATCTCTAGAGTTAATAACAATTATCTACGGAAATCACGTGATTTTTGATAGAACCAATCATAATCAAGGAAATAAATATAAACCAATAATATTCATTAAGTACCTGACATTCAATGAAAAATTGCGTCTAAGTAATAATGTTTATTTATACGCAAATTTCCTATTTAATTCATGTTTTTAGCAATTTGTTATTAAATTTGTTTGAGATATTGATGAGTGAGTCTTTTTAAGTATAATTTAGATGTTTTTGAGATAATTTGTACCAAGGTACAAAATTGGACAAAGATCGAGAAATCCTTTAAATCGTAAATCATACCTCGACGTGACATGATGAAAATGGACACAGCCTCGGGTAGACATCCACCAAACGCCAGAAACGTCATCCCCATAACAGAATCGGGAATAAAGAATGTGTGCCCTGAAATTTGATTGTGATTAGTCATACAAACAAACAAGAATCACTCGTTTATCTCTAATGTTAGAATAAAAGGTGATCTTTCAGATTATTTCCTATAATAGTGCATTTATATAGAGAATGAGAGAAATATAAATAAATATTATTAAACAACATGATACAAAATATAATATGTAGTGATAAATTATAATCTATTTATTATAAAACTAAGTTTCCCGCCCCGTCTTTTTATCTATCTTTATGTTGAGGTCATCCTCACTCAGAACGGATTTTCATGTGGATTTCACCATCATATATATGATTTCTCACGAAAGGTATATATGTATAATACAAGACCGACAGTATAAACTATTATATAAAATATAAATATATCACCATAAAATATAATGTAGTCTTCAGAAATTTCAGCCTTTGACAAATGATAAGATCTAGTCTACTTACCTAAAACTGTCATGCTCCATGACACAAAGTAAGAATTGACTCCGATCCACACTATACACATCATGAAGGACAGAGGGTATAACTTTCTGCAGCTGTTAGGCTGAGGAATCGTCACGGTCATAATAGCCTTCAAAGGCCATGTGTACACCCACCAAAATCGATACACCAACGATTTCTCTTTTGGAAATCTGAACAAACTCTTCTTTGGCTTCGTTGGAGACTCGTCTTCTGAAAATGGTGATATGTTTAATGATTGTCAGATGTGAAAATATTATTACGATTTGTACATTTCTTAACATATATATTACCATCTTGAGCAATGACCGATTTCTCTGCGATGCCATTAGATCCTGCAATATTGGTAGTTGATTCACTAAACGCCTTGTTATCAATGCCCTCTTCGATGCTTTTATCGTTCGCTAGCTCAGTAACTGCAAAATATTTTAATAAAATTAATTTATATGGTAGACAAACAGTTATGAGCTATTCGTTAAATATTATCCCCCTTATTCTAAAACGCGGACTAAAGTTAGCCTTGGTTTAAACCTAACGTTAAAGCGACAGCATCAGTTTAAACCAGATTTAACTTTAGTCAACGTTTTTTAATAAGATAGCAAAATGTGAATTGGGAGTATCATACTTAAGTACATAGTTTCATAAAAATCACCTTCCAAGCTGTTCTTATTTTTGCAGCATGACGCAACGATCTTGTCAAATAATTTGAAAATCCTCACGCTATTGAACATGATAATAAAGTAGAGAATATAGAGGGCCCCAAGAACGGTGGCCTCCTGCCAGTCCACCTGACCGTCCCATACGATGATGAACAACACACTGACGTTGACCATGTAGATGATGACATCCCTGGTAACAGGTCTCGCTTCGATAACGATTGGCTACAAAGACGAAAGAGATATGTTTTATACAAATTATTGATGTGACAAAGCATATCTTGCTAAGTAGTAGTAATACATTATTACTGCACAAGCCCAAAATACATTTAATAAACGCGAATAAAGTATACGTTATTTAATGGAATCGTATGTATCGAAAACGTGATCCGAAAATGCTCACGCAGATTTTCTTTTACATAAAAGCTACCAATATTTTATTAAGGTTTCTTATTTGAAATACTTATTTATGATATTACATATTTTTTAGACATTTAAATGCTAGATTTTTTAGACCTTAAGAAAATTAGACTATTTTTTTTTACGAAACTTTCTTTACTTGTCAACCAATTAAAATAGTCAATAATACTCACTTGCATAGCAGCCAAGCCTCCTATAGCGGCGACACCAAGGGCGTTAAAGATGCCCGAACCAACTATCGTTCCAATACCCATATCAGACTCTGTTAGAAACGTTGAGAACACGTTCACAAAGAACTCTGGGCATGATGTGGCCACCGACATAAACGTCGCTGCTGCTACATTCTACAAAAATGATAACAAAAAATAAAAATCTACTCCAAAATCGAAAATGGAACTAAAAAGTAAAAATAAATCTCTGGTTCGTGATTTGGAAATCGGGCGGGGTCAAGATTGAAAGTACCAATAGAAAGTATCACCCATGGTCTAAAAAAAATAATCACTCAAATCGGGCAAGAAATCATTAAGTAAAACGTGTACATTACAAACAAAGTATCGTCAAAATTACATCGTCCGAGTTAACAAAATAAAATAAAAACAACTGGATCAAACTGAATTAAATTTTTATGGGCCCAAAAGGCAAGTAACAACTTATTCCGCATCGGACAAAAAAGAATCTCGTAAATAAGAAATATCAGAGTTGTCTTGTATATACATAAAAACACTTATCGACCGAGTAGAGAACCTTCTCTTTTTTAAGTCGGTTAAAAATGATACAACTCAGATTTACTAATTACCTACATATTTTTTTTATAACTAAAGAATAATGTTGCGCTTATGTGATAAAGAAATGGATGGATTGTATGATTCGTTGTTTCGCACAACATAGTATATGTATGTGATAATTCTGATAAACATAGGAAACGTAAGCAATCACGTTCCGTTAATTACAAAATTAGGTTTATCTACAAAGGAAAAGTTCTTGAGCTGCTTGCAAAATAACTTGAAAGTAGACATTTTCTTATCTAGTGGTATATGGTATACATATTAGCTATTTGACTGCTTAAAATCACAAATAATTACCAAATACCTTATTACATTAAAACAATTAAGCGAATTTATATAACAGATACTATACAATCACGATCAATTTCAGTCAAGATTAAAAATAACACTTGATATGATAAGGATATAAATAATGTCCTTTAAGAAAACTTTGTATGACCTTCAAAAGTCACTGTTGGTTCTATGATTAATTAAAATTATTTTTTAGATCCAAGTTAACCGTACCTGTGCATTCAGGTTTATTTTTTTACATTTGATGAAAAGCTATGCAACACACGCACCTGTGGTATTTTCAAATCTTCGCATATCAACTCCACACAAGGAAGGAAATAGTCATTGCAAACTATTGCCAGCAACGTAAAAGCGTATATTCCAAACATCAAATAACACAAGAAAGCGCCACTTCGCAATTGTTCATCTGAAAGAAAAAATTAAAATCTACTATATAAAAATAAGTCGGGTTTTCCTTCCTGACGCTATAACTCCAGAACGCACGAACCGATTTCCACAGTTTTGCATTCGTTGGAAAGGTCTCGGGCTCCTTGAGGTTTATAGCAAAGAAAATTCAGGAATTTTTTTAAAAAAAAATCGTTTTCTTTTAATCACAAAACGAAATGTTACATAAAACGAAGCTATCTGGTGGCGAAACGGAGTTCGCTGGGTTTGCTGGTAGGGTATAAATAACAATAAACTATTTTCTCTCCACAATGTTATACATGCTTCATGAGTAACAGATTATAAAACTTAGGACTAAGATTGTGAGATACTGGTGACCAAACTAAGCTGACGCCTGTGTCTCAATGCATAAAATAAGTTGGGTACAAAAAAAAGGGAGAAATGTTTTATGTTGACAATAAATTAGAATCATAAAGAAATTTTCTTTAGATTTATTAAGTTACGATTTTCAAACTGATATTGCAAATACTTTATATCCAGCCAATACAAGCGAGTTTAGTGATTACAAAGTATGCTTTCCAATTACAGAGCATAATGCGACTCAGTGCCGCACAATGCCGAATTATGCTGATGCTTAATTGGAACGTGAATTAGTTTTCAAATGCACCAGCAGAGTGCGCTAAGTTCAGTGTTGAAAAAAAAAGTCAATGTTTGTACCTTCATCCATACTTATATTTATTTTTTAACAGTTTGAATGAACTTTGATTATTTAAAAAAAAACTATTTAATGAAACGAAAGCTTTAATAATTTTTCAACAATAAATAATATTACTAACGATAACATATAAATAAAACATTTCGATCAATGCCAACTTAAAGAAAAAACACTTGTTAATTTTCTTTCTCTAAGTTGGTACCATTGCACGCATCACACGAAAGCATCACTTTTGAGAGTGTTCAATTGTGCGAAGCGTTGCTGTAGTTGGAACACTCAACGTTAAGCATTATGCCGCATAATGCGCAATAATGCTGTAATTGGAAAGCAACCAAAGCTTGCAACTTATTAAAAAGTAAGGTTATAATTATAAACTGATTACTTTTCAATTGAATAAGGTATGAAAATTTTGGTATTAATGCCTTTTAATCCGTTGCTGAAACAAATATTATAGGACATATCAGTCAGAAATATCCCGAAACGTCCTTGAAAGTTTAATTGAAAACAAGTTTTGTATACAAGAAATTAGGACCTAGGAATGAGATGCGCCAATTGTTTGTTTTCAAATTACAAATCATATTATCTTATTACTGAAGTATTGTAGATTAGGATTGTTGCCGTGTGCGGATAATAAAAACCTATGCATGTATACGGAAAAACAGTTTCGGAAATAACAATGACATAGTAAATAACGTGTATCGTCGATAGGCGAGTTGGCACTTTTTGGAAATATGTTTTAAATGGTGAATAAATGTTCAATTAAACCGAAAAATAAATGTATTGTATTTTTTTTACCTGGACAGCTTCAAAATTTTAATTTTAAAATATTTTTTTCATGGACATACAAAAACGCTGTCGGCTATTTTAGTCTATAGATTGTCTAGGCTAACAAAATTGTAAACAAACATTCGGAAGCACATAGGAAATAACCTGACAGCCATCTTTAAATTTTATGAAGTGAAATCGATGTATTTTTGTGGTTCCTCATACCAAAAATGATAAGAAATAAACATTTGTATAGTGCAATTTGACCTGAGTCATAGTTGACTCAGCAATTGTGCAATTTGACCTGAGTCATTGTTTAAACATCACTTTCACTTGTAAAGGCTAGTGCCTATTTTTAAACATTTTAACTTCTTTACATTTGGTATACACCCGGGCAAACTTCTTAAGAAACACCTATACTCTGCCAACCTCGCAAGGAACATGGTATGGGTGTTTATTAAAAAACCAACTGGCTACCTTATCCCATGTAATACCGGAACTATATATACACATATATATCGTATCATTAATTACATACCTATAAGTTAATCTTAGATTATAATTAGTAATGTTCCCATTCATCAGAGTTATTAATCCAATTATAATAATGGATGACATAAACACAGCAACAAAGAAATAAGCAAAGTGTTCGTAGCGTGATTTCGTTGAATTGAGAGTTCGACGTGGTATTTTTAGCCAACGAAAAAAAAGGAGGTCCTCGTTTCAACGCGTATAATATTTTTGAAGTGAAAACTTCTTTAGCGGCGTTGTACACTATTTTTGTATGGGTAAAAAACGTTAAACTCGCGTCAGGTTAAACACATGGGCTGATCGCATCATGACACACAATAAAATTGGAAAGGTTGTTGACTTTCAATATATTGGACGAAACATAGTAATATTTTATTCTATCGTATTATAAATCGAAAATTCGTAAGACGAAAATAGTAAAATTGGAAAGGTGGTTAACTTTCAATATATTGGACGAATCATAGTAATATTTTATTTTACCGTATTATAATAATAAGTCGTAAATCTAGGACATTCAGGTGGCAGCTTTATTGCGAAGAAAATGCATTTTTTTACAATAGATGTCGCTAGGTGCGCTTAAATGAGTAATTCTGAGAGATAAACTTTTTAATGTAATAGAAATTGTCATGTTTGTGTACGATAGCGCAATAAATAAATATTGTATTCTACCACATAAATGATAGTACTTCTATACTGATAATTAAAGAAATTGGTGCAAAATTATTCCCTAACCATTCCATAATATCAAAAATGCACAACGTTAATATTCAAGTTTTCACTTCTGCCGGCACTCATGGAGTGCAACCCGTCGTTTTTTTCTTTGCATAACTTTTAACAGAGTAGTCCGATTTTGATAATTAAGTATGTATTTATTTATTGGAAATGGTATATCCTGAAGTTGGCCCTGATAAAAAAAATCCAAATCTAAGGGCGCGATTACACTTGGTTGTTAGCCCGAATACAAGTGTCAATGGAATTCGGGTAAACGACTAAGTGTAAATGAACGGAGTCGAGTACGCCCGAATATTGCTTCGGGTGCCCAAATCCGAGTAATGCCTTTCCTGCATCCGAATGCGGGCTAACGACCAAATGTAATTGCGGCATGACGATAGGAAAACAGTAATGTATGACCACACATAGAGTCTGGTGAAATCCACAAAAGTGCACCGCCATTTTCCAAAAAGAAGAAGAAGACGACGCATAACTTTTTACAGAGTAGTCCGCTATACCTCAAAAAAACCCTAAATAATTTGGAAAAAAAAACCTACTCTACGGCTGGGTAAATAAAAGGGTGACCATTCATTCACACGTTTTAATAGTTAGTTCTGCGTTGTGTATTACAGAACTTTAAGCCACAAAAAGCTATAAAATAAAATATTTTGAACGAATAAATTGAACCGTCGCAAAGAACTGAAAAGCAGTAAATAATAAACCTTTTTTATTTATCGACTCAAAATTACTTAGGAATACGTTAAAGAAGTGATTTGTATTTTATAGCAAACATATATACTCATAGTATACTTTACAATATTGGACATAATAACGAAAATCATGCCAATAGAAATGAGTGAAATTTATACTACCATCTTAATTCATTACTAGGTTGAAGCTCATTTGGAGACAAAATTTTTAGCTGCAGGTGATGTTTAGGGAATAATTTGTTTTTCGGATCGATTATTATTTCCCCATATTTATTCGAATCGGACTTGGAGTCGCCTAACATCAGCATCTTTTGAAATGTCACAATTGCACTTGTCAAATTATTTTATTAACGTAAGACAGATTGTCCTGAATGTGACGTTTTTCTTTACGAGTAAAAAGGCTTATAAAATAACCAAAATTCAGATTTTTAACTGTCATTCCCTTATGTGTAATGGGTGATCACTTGACATTGGCGGAGCTGTGATAAATCACAACGCAAGCCATCATAAAAAAAAAGAAGAAGACAGAATAAAACAAGTCGTTACCTAATTGATTCTTCTTATTTGTCGTTAATAAAAGTTACGTTTATCTTACCCGTGAAGAAGCCATCGGGGAAACTTTCGATGGAGGCCTCGGCAAAGCAGTCCACTTTTTGCAGGACGCCATCTTGTTCCTGCGTCAGTGTCCGTAGCCAGGGTTTCCAGTGCCAGGTCGACAGCTCTTCGTCCAATCTTTTCATGAGGTCCTCTTCGATCAGCACAGTTTCACCATGCCTATTGACGATTTGCCGGAACTTGGAAACATCCGTGACATCTGTGAAAAAAATATTATCAGCACCACGCGATCTCAACTGGCGAATCGATCTGTATTAATAAGGCACTTTTAACGTACGTGGTAACACTAGTACAATCACTGTTCAAACATTCCCAACAATCCTGATTACAGAGTGGGATACAGGAGGCCACTGATAGCGCGTTAATAACAAACGAATACTGACATTAGGTACTAAACCAATTAGTCGAAACAAAACTGACGCAAAATCTGCACCTATCTTCTAAAGCGCAGTTCTAGCGTTCTAACTGTCGAAGACACAACTGAGAAGTTATGGCATGCCTACGTTGATGTTACAGTAAGAAACCATTAATTATTCCAATGTCTTTCCTTGTTTTTCCAATAGCATTTGAGTTGTGGGTTTATCACTGGTATTTCTATTATTAAGTTTACAATAACTACATTAACATGTTATGCTGAAATTTCGTAAGCTATTATTTCGATCACCTGTACGAAAAACTTATATATTAAATAAATAAAAATACCTGGAGGAGCGGCATGACAAAAAAAAGCCTTCAATTTTAGAAGAAACAGCATTAAGAGTTTTTTCTAGTAAAATTTCTTTAGATTTAAACAATGCAAACAAATAAAGGTACAACTTACTGAAACGCTCCAGTGACGTGACGCAAGTAGCAAAAAATAAGATTGACACCGCTACAACCAACATGACGTGGCTGGCTCGGTCCATCTTCACTGAGATGGGTGTGTACAGCCTCTTAGTTATCTAAAACAAAACAGTTTCCTTATAAAAATATTACTATCGATTGATAAACAAAAAATTATATTTCACCGGCGTCTGTTTAAGTTGTGCGACAAGGTGCGTAAAAAATAAATTCCCTTTAGATATAAAAATCTTTCACTTAAATTCAATGAAGTGTTTGTTATCCGTATTATGGTGTCGTGGGAAGGTCAGGGCAGTCCGGCAAGGAATATAAATTTCAAAAAAGATACATTATTAGTGGATGCCCATGACTTCTTTCTGCGTATTGGTTTCCCGTATAAGAAGACTTAATTTTAATGAGACTATCATTAAGGAAAGCTGAGCCCGCTACTTGGATATTGTAAATACCACACATACGTAAGTAGTCGTGACCGTATTTGTACGTAGCTGCGTACATTCCGAACTTAATTTTTCTTCTGTTTTCCTTCCATTGTTAAACTTTAAGGTCTATAAAACGTCGATATAGAAATTAAAACTATGAATTCATCAGAAATACCATTCCAATATTATTCCAGATCACTTCTAAACATGAATAAATTAAAGTATAGAGTATTGCGAGAATTCTTAGATCGCCATAGGTAGTTATACCTGTTAAGCCGCCATATTCAAGATATTATATATATATGTCAATAACGATATCATTAGTAAAATTTGGTCCTAGAAATCATAAAAACTAAAGTCATTGCAGTAGTGGGGTCGTTCAGCACAATGATTTTTATAGTTTAAATTGATTTTGACTTTTTAGTCGTCTTATGTTTACTTTTTTTACCTTTGTATAAGTCTTGCTTGACTTTAATTACAATTTTAAATTTGAATCTGCAGCCATTTTTTTGTTTTTTTAGAATTCTTGGATAATTTTGTAAGTAAGTATATTCTAATTGAATTGCAATAATAAATTGTGATTTAGAAAATAAGTCGACAAATTGAAATAAATTAATTTATTAATTTGTAAATAGTAAAAATGTCTGCAATATAATAAAATAAACTCTAAAATGTTCTATTAAATAATGAGAGTGCCGAAAGTATAAGAAATTTAAACATAGAATAGATACCCGCCCTGCAGTTAGAGTGAATACTAGGAATATATTTGAAATACTAACTTTTGTTGAATCTGCACGCGACATGACATAGTGTTTGACGGCTTGTAAATATAATATATATTATATAGTATGTATTACTTTGAGCTACACATAGCCGGTAAAGAAACTAGAAATGTTGTTTTTACGGAATCATTATACTTATGACGCAACTAGAATTATCCTCAATTCCTCATTCATTGAAAAATCGTAGTTATATAAGGAAACGTGAGTTGGAACAGGTAATTAATGTGTATTTTAATCGTCTCCGATAATTAGGCAATGATTGTGAAAATAAATCGTATTTTGCAGGAACTTATAAATCAATTAGGTAAATTGACATTGAAAAAGCGCAAACAGGTGGTGTGATAGTGCGATTGTATCCGTATTAATTTGTAATATGGTTCTATTTTTTGTGAATGTGTCTAAAATTAGATCCTTCATAATTATATGTAATATAAACAATAATTTAAGAAACAAAACATTTACAGAGTTTTCTATGATGACAGTCTCATTAAACTTGGGAGTCTTCTTACCATAGAATTGGATAAATATAACTATTAACTCAAAATTCCAGTGGAATCCTCATATTTCACTTTTAGCTAGTAAACTTAGTTCAGCGGCTTATGCCATACGAAAGATGAGGCAACTTTCTGATGTAGATTCTGCTAGGACTGTATACTTTAGTTACTTTCACAGTATTGTATCGTATGGCATTATTCTCTGGGGAACAGCAGCAGACATCGAAACGATATTTATATTGCAAAACGGTGCTGTAAGAGCTATTTATCAACTAAGCTCAAGAGAATCTCCCAAAGAAAATTTTAAAGGAATCAAGATTTTGACCGTGGTCTCGCAATTTATCTACAATTGCATACTTTTTGTTCGAAGCAATGTTAGCTTTTATCTCAAACATAGTGACGTACATACTTTTAAGACTAGAAATAAAAACAAACTTAAGTTACCATTGTACCGGTTACATAAATTTCATGGATCATTAATGGGTCAAGGTATACATTTGAGAGAGAGAGATTTGCCTCTAAATTAATTTAAAACACATTAAAAATTGCTTGCTTAAGAAGAAAGCTTATTATACTGTTAAACAATTTTTAATTATAAAAACTGCCTGGTCGTAATTGTTACCTTCAGAAAATTTTCAAACTTATATAAAACTTGTCTCCTGAAGAGGAGTATTGTAAATGATTCCAAAAACTGGGCCTTATAAGACGCAAGTTTCTAAGTATTATAAATGCGAAAGTTAACTTTATCTATTACACTTTCACGTCTAGATAGATATCAATGAATATAACTATGATGAATATATTTTTATTATCAAATGACGGCAAACAAGCGCCTGTTGTTTAGGTGCCGCATCTAGCCTAGAAAGGATACTATACTCATGTGATTAAATTATCACTATCAAACAATTTTTAATGCAGGCTCACCGAAAGCTTATACAATAATTAAGTAAGTACTGTATTTGTTTTTGTTACCAAACATGATAGCAATACGTAATGAATATATGTCTGTACAACTTTTGAAGAACCAATAAAAGAGATGTTCTTATTTAAATTGAATACAGATTCTAGATTACAATCATTATCTTTTCATGCTCATACGTTAAAATAAAGTAATTCCCCTAGCTCATGTAGTATTTTTTATCATTCTTGTGATTAACTTTTGTGAACTAGTCCACTACATTTGAATTACGCAAACATATAATATTAACATAGATACTTTAATTCAAAGTGCTTAAGTAAAAACTAACATAAGTAATTATTATGAGGTATTACTACCAAAATGCGTCAATTGTATTATTATGACTTTCCGTGAAATTACACGTCGCATAAAGAACAAGGCAAGCTACAAAAATATCCAAAATTAAAGTATAGGTATGGGCTTTATTACCCATATTATAAATAAACCAAATATTAACTTAATTCCTTAAAACTTTATATTTCCTTTATTACCTAGTCTTGCCATAAATATAGTGACAAGGAAAACTCAATTTTTTTTACTAGGTACACAAATCATTTATTATTGTTATGCGTGTTAGTTTATACATTAATATTATAACATTATATATGTAGCAACAACATATAAAATATAAGAAGTTCATTCGAAATACTTTCATTTACTCCTTTTAACGTTGACGCTACTTATCAATAGAAACACGCACTCTCTCCATGGGAAAATTCTTCACTGCCAATCTTATGAATTGTTTTAGTGACTCCAAATTATATCATGGCGTTTGGAACATGCCATAGGGTACGGCCACAGTGCACGCTGAAATAAACAGTGTAGTTTAAGCAGGATGGCCATAGTGGCAGCAGGCAGCTGGTTGCTTTACCGCCTGTGTGGGTACCGCCGGTAAAGTTTACCAGTATGTTTAGGTCATTCTTGTTTCAGATACTGAATTCACCAGCGCCGCTCGGACTACAGGTTATAGTTGTTTAAGTAATCTTTTTCTTGGTTGTGTTATAAACAAATATTTAGTGCCTTGCTTCTTGTTTGTGATCTTCTCTTATTTCTTGATTTATATTTTACAATTAAAATAATGAATATAGAAACGCTTATCGCACAATTTTTTCTTAACCCTGCTGTATGGGATAAAAGAGACAAGAACCATCCAAATAGGAATGTCGTTAATAGGTGCTGGCAAAATATCGCTGGCGTAATGGGTGTTAAAGGTAAAAAATATAAGAATATAACAAGGCGTTCTTCTGGAAGAATCTTGTGTTGGTGCAAATTACACTAATTCTTTATCATGTGAGGTTCAATTGTTTTTTAAATGTAGTAGAAAGTTTCTACTTCCATCCTAAAATATTGGAAGAAACGTTCCCTATCGGCTTTTAACTGGGTAAACAAATGGTGGTATTCCCCATATTCACTTCTTAATCTATTAATTTAGTGAACACCGATTCTCTCACGTTTAAATTTATAATGACAACTATCAGTATCCATAAACGATCTTCATTAGACAACTCCTCCAAGTTTACAACTGAAAAGAAGTGAAGTTTCTTATATCAAAGCTTGTCTAAAGACCGATTTTTAAAATAATAGTCTTACTTAAAATAAATCAGGGCTCCAAGCCCAAGGTATTCCAAATACCGTTAAAAATTTGTGACGTTACTTTTGTTTGGCAAGGGTAACGATACTCAGGAAATAACGTTACTCCAATTAACGTTACTTCGGTAATATTATACACATCTGTTAAAACTATTACCGTTACCAGTCTTTTTAACGCTATGAGCTTACGTTACTTTTGTATAATTGAAAGTATCATTTACGTAGCGTTAATTACCTATATTGGTAAGACATTTATTGCGTTTATATAAATACAGGGTGAAATTGAATGTTTTAATGAAAGTTCGTGGGAATGTTGGGTTACGTATATAGAGTATCTCTGATTTTTTTCGGATTTTTTAAAAAATGATTTAAAATAAAACGGGCGGCCGGGAGCAATGACCGCTCCCGCCGTTGAATACCTTCCTGCCTACCTATCTAGGTATGCGCGGTGCACAGCGCAGTGAGCGAGCGGAGTCTCAAGCGCGCGCGTATCTTTTAAATTTGTGACAAGACAAGATTTGCAAATAATGCCTTGATTAGTTCTTGTTCAGTGCCCTCAATATAAGAATTTGGATATGGTGTGTTGTTATTGCGAGTGTCACGGAATACTCAGCAGAGCCACAAGGCTTTACGAAAGTGAAAGTAGGTTTGGTGATTTATTGGGAAGTTATAGAGAAAAAAATTAATAGGTACATCGGTCTCGTAAGTACTTTTGAATACCTGGTAATAAATTTCATTCTGACCCAAGTATTGAACTGCAATAATAAGTATTTCTTTTTGTTTAACTTGCAAAAGTTTCTACTAGTTGCTATTTCCAATCGTGACAAAATTATTATTAGCTTTTTAAGTTTTTCTCTGCTTAAGAGAAGATGACATTTGTGCTTATTATTTCAATTTCAATAAAGGCATCTAAGACGATTTTATTGTATTGTGTGGAATCAAACGAGTCAGCTGAGCTCTGTGTACGTACCTACTCACTCAACGGCTGGCGGGCGCGGTCGGTCGTTGACCCGCGGTGGAATTTTACTGTTTTTCCGTTTTTTAGAAGTGCTTATTTATTAGTTGTTTTTCACTGGATATGTAAGCATGTTTGTTTAATATGAATAACTACTCAAAAGGAGGAAAGGACAAAAAAATACACAAATTATAAATAAATACATGAAAAAAAAATACTTCAAAAAAATCCGAAAAAAATCAGGCATACTCTATACTCGTAACCCAACAATCTCACGAAGTTTCATTTAAACATTCAATTTCACCCTATATAAGCCACCCGCCTCTTTTTCGAATTGTATAAATACAATTCGAAAAAGAGGCGGATGGTTAGAAACTGCTACTCGCAGCATTAAATAAATTTATAATAACGAGAATATAAAAAATCTAATTTCAAACAATTACAAAACTTCTACTATCCGTATAAGAAGAGAACTCGGTAGGGCACATCGGATTATTATGAATGAAGCGTTTGCACGGAACGCTTGGCATTCAACTTTACAGAAAATTTTAATCGAACAATATGTATTTGTTTAATAATAAATATATCCCTTTGTCGCCTATCGTATTATCGCCGCCTATCGTCATGGGCGGGACACACAGCTCGGATGGACACAGAAAGGAGAAAATAACTACAGTAGTGCTATTCTGTTAGAACAAACTCACTTCCACCTCGGAATCCGCGGTGTAATTTAAAATTAGAACACGAATTTCAAATCACACCGCTAAAATGAAAATAAAAGTTTGTTCTTATATAAGTTTGTTTTTTATTAGTTTGTTTTTTATTAGTTTGTTTTATTATGGAATAGCACCGCCAAGGCAGTTATATACTTAGAATAGGGAATATCAATTTTAGATGCAGACTGCCTTGAGGTTAGGAGGAACCTCTTAACCTCGTTGTACTCTATTCTTATGTTAAATCAAAAAGCTCCGTCTAAAAAAATGTGTACCAAAATTCATCTGTTTTACAGGTAATAAAGCACTTACTTCACTAAATTAAAATTTTTGATATAAACAATAAAAGCTAACCAAAAAAACTTGTTAAACACTTATTGTTAGAAAAAATCAAATTCGCAATTGCGACACTGTGACATTCCTTGTCCCCAATAATTAAATTACAAAGTAAATGTATAATTACAGTTGCTCATACTATCATTGGTATAACATTAAATAGAAGCCAATATCAACCTACTCTATTTACTACCTACAATCTTGAATGAAAACGCAATCAAGTCATAAAAACAATACAACAATCGTATGTACTTACTTCGGAATAATAAAATTTCACTAAATGTCAACTGAGTTCAATTAAAAAATCATTTTTCTTTTGCGATTTATAACGTAACTGTCGCACTCCGTGTCGAAACTCTATTTAGACTTCATTCATTGCACTGAAAGACAATATCAAAGGCACTGGTTTATAAGTAGATAATCTAATTTGATAAGATGCTTTGCTACAACCATTAGGAGATTTTTACTGTCGATCGCAATTATCGCTCGCATTAAATCATTATCCAAGAGAGATGTGTGCGAATACATACTTCCTCTTTTAATATAAAACACTTGTTGATTAAAATCAATCAAATATAGACCTAACGTGATTGGTGAAGTTGTTATGATTACTCGTATCTTTGAATTAATCGACTTCTATCTTCGTGAAACTATATCATGTATTGGTATTATTTACTTGAGGGAACTCAAAGAGAAAAGTTACTAATGAAATTCGTTAGACCGGTAAAATTGTCGCTGAGTGTGATAGATACGCTGGGGAAACAATGCCGCGACGCTGAGGCCATATCTACCGTGAAATATCTAAAAGGAAATTTGTGCAAAATCAAGTTTCCCGTGAGGCAGATTTCTTGCTTGCTTCTTCTTTTATCTCAATACAATATATTTTTCCAGGCAAGGAGCAACGTAAAATTTACTTTCTTTTGTCATTATAACCTAAATCTTTTTGAAACAGTTTAAAGAATTCTTTATCAGACACTCTTTATTTAAAACACAATTATTATCAAATAAAGGCAGAAACAGACCTATGAAACGCGATGCCACCACATCACATCACAAACACACGCCTAAATTTGTGTAATAAAATTTTTGGAGCATATAAAATTAGGTCATCTGTACTTAATTATAAAAAGGATCCCGGATCTGATTTGTTCATTATATTTACATATTAAAATTTAAATTACAAAAGCTTAAAAACTAATTATAGTCTAAAAACTTAAAGAGAATTAACACTTAAATAATATACAACCTACAAAATACCCCCCGCGCTGACGTCAGGAATGGTGCCCAACAGGCTGGCAGCATTTCCACGTTGGATAGCAAGGCTAACCCGTTGACCAAGGTAGCTGCCAGCCTTTTGATCACCAGTCACCTCGGTGAGTCTCTAAGGCCCGTATTATAGAAAGATTCTCAGTGATGCGACATCCCTTTCTAACTGTATTCAAGTAAAGATCAACACTTAGTTTTCATTCTGTAATACGGGCCTTAGACAATTCCTTAAAAAAGGAACGGGCGCTCGGACCCCTTGGTCTATACTATGGAGTCTCAACGCCAAACGGCACAAATATGTAGTTCTCATTGAAAGCTGAATATTTGCGCCGCCGCTTGGAGCACTCAGCAGAGGCCGCCGCGCCCGCAACAAAAGAGGTACTTCCTGTATGGCACGGAGCAAGCGTATCCGCGCAAGTTGCGTCCCATACAAGAGGACGACCCTGCTTCCACTTCCGACGTCTCTTCCCATCGTCTCTAAAGATGTCGCTAGGCTCTAGGACAGCTGACACATTGCGACAAGAGCTCTACCGATGAAGTCATTAATGCAGGCGTAGCGGGAGACTCGACCAGCGCTCATTTTGCATGAGAGACCATGGTGTCCCAACTCACCGACGCGAGTACCGCAACGACAGCGATGGGGGTGATTGGTCCTGACGCCAAGTCTAAGTGAAACGGCAAGAGACAGAGTGCTCCTCTCAGGCAAAGTCCAAATATTGGCTGAAGGAAGAGCTTGCAACCAATAACCAGACTGTGCCTGAAAGACCTCTAGAAGGCAAGCACGCTCCGCTGCGTTTTCAGAAGAAGCTAAAAGGTCACTCTGAAGACGCAGACAGAGTGGCTCGTCCTATTGCCTCTGCGAAGATAAGGAGGATGGTGGATCGACTTCCGGGCATGCCCCACACCAAGCATTCCTGGCCTCTGCAAGGTGAGCCAGCTTCGCTACGCCTAAAGAAGGACGTAGTATTTTATTAAAGAGCTCGGCTGTACCATGTGCAGAAGACAAAAAAGCGGGAAGGGCAATGTGTGAAATGTGACGGGTACCTAGTCCTCCGGAACGAGAGGAGAGGGAGAGAGGCCTGCTTCCAAGCTTTATCAGAAAATGAACAATTTAGAATTCTAGAAAGTGTCTCCCTGTGTACTTATAATATTTATAAGTACAGAATTTTAAAATAAGGTCATCTGTATATTCCTTTTTATTATATTATAAAGAGGAAAGATTTGATTGTTTGTTTACTTGTATTGAATAGGCTACTGGACGGATTTGAAAAAATCATTCACATTTAGAATCCTACGTTATCCTTGATAAACATAAGCTTGGCGCAATGATATATAGCCTTCCCCGACAAATGTACTATCCAACACAAAAATAAATTTACTAATTGGACCACTATTTTTTGAGATTAGCTTGTTTATGCAAAAAAACAAACTCTCCAGCTTTATGATATTAGTAAGTGTTTCGATGATATTAGTAATTTATGACATTATTAAGTATTCTTCGTGTTAAAATATGTAATAGTAACGCCGTTACAAACTCGGTCACCTTATTCGTACCATGTATTAATTCTTATCTAAATAAATCACTTCTCATTCAAGACTTTATCAGAAAGGTACCAAATATAGTCTTGAATTAAATAGTATCAATTACTTTTTGGATGAGACCATTCCCTAGTTTCATACCATTTAAAAGTTATCATGAATGATAAAAGTGATCCATCACTTTGAAGAAGGGCATGAACCAATGGTAAGGCGGACAAGTTTTTTTTAACAGCAGAGCAATGGTGCATATCGGTACAACGGGTCCTAAACTAGGCAACAAAATGTTCACTATCAGTTAAATAATTTTTTCACGGACGGTTTATATGAAGAAGTTCGTTATAATCAGTGGCGGCGCTAGACCACATGTGGACGTCGGCGACATCAAGTTCGCGAGGCCTATTTTACTTCGCAGTAAAAAACCGTTAAATTAAGTGAGCCAAATTATAAAATAACGTATGAGTAAACGAGTTTTATTGTTGATAATCAAATGATGACAAAAAGTAATTAAAAAAATAGAAATTTAATTACAAAAATAGTGTTGCCAGACAGACGATTCTGAATACCCGTAAAGTACTACTCGCTTCCATCACGCACATGTTCGAAAATAATAAAAGTCATTATCATCTGCTTAGCTTTTTCCCCGAATTGTTCGGGGTCGGCTACTTAAGCCAGGCCAGGAGAAACGAAAATAAATAGGTAACTTGTACAAACTTTTTGCGAGGCCCCCTCAGGCGCGAGGCCGTCGGCGGTGGCCGACGTCGCCGACGCCTAGCGCCGCCACTGATTATTATACAAGCCTGAGAACAAAAACTATAGTCTACCTACACTATAGCTCTATACCGAAGCGAAGCGAGGGCGGGCAACTGGTATTTAAGATAAATTTGATGTCGCCATCATAAAACATACTCGTTATACCCATAGCAGTCGCATAAGAAAAAAAACGTAATCTGTTAACAGAAAAAAATTCAAAAGGCGCATTCGACGTCTTTCGTTTTTCACTAAATTAAGTTCGAAAAGGAAATGAAAAAACCATTCCGTATTTTTTCTCACCTTTTGTTATTCCGTAGACTTGTGTTTTTAATCCTTTTTCTCTGCACTATTCACTCTCTCTCTCTCACAACATGACCACACAGCTCACTAGTAGTTCAAGAAGTATCAGATTTTATTGTAAACTTTTGTTTATATCTATGTATTCCCTACTTGTAACCACAAGGGACTGCAAAAGACTGAACATTCGGTCTCTATTGACCACGTTTGCCTTTAGATTATGTAGGTGCGTCCTTCCTCCTTCTACAGCATAGTATCCTTGTTTTGTCTTTATCTCGGAAATTCTGCTATGTGCGTACCGTGCTACGTAATACGATGTAGGGAATACACACGGAATACTGTGATCATAGAGATTGCGGTTTCAAAGACACATTCGTCAGCTCATACGTCAATCACGAACATTGCCTGAGTTTCGTCTATGAATTAATAAAAAATAACTAACTGTGTAACAATCATGTAACAATTTATTGGCAACACGGGCACCCGCGACTTTGTCCGTGATAACTTTCTTTATTTGAGAGTCCCACAGGAACCTATTTTTATTTTATATTCGAAGTTTACCCTTTTCAAAAAAAAAAGAATTAAAAATCGAACTATTCTGTAAAGTTATGCGTAATGATTAATAAAAAATATACGCGTCAAATTAATAACGTCCTCCGTTTTTTTTGTTAGTTGAAAATTATTGTTTTACTTTGGCTACACAACACGATACCGTTGACATTTCATGCTTGAATACAGAAGAATGAATAAAAAAGCTAAAGAAAATAGTGCAAAGACCACCTGGTGGTCAAAATAGATACACTTAAATACTTTTATATGTTTTTTTACAGTGGGAACAGACGTCGAGTAAATAACAGATAAGTAATTCTTCTTTATTTATTCTTTCTGAACAATTTTGATGCTGACTCTTAGTCGTAAAATTATCACTTCATCAAATGACTGACTTTGCTGCAGACCTAAAATATTTAGAGCGTACCGACATTCCAATTTTTTTTCTGTTATTGTAGTAGGTACTTACGATGTATAAAAATAAAAAAAAACTTTATTATTGAAGCTTCTTCATAATGCAGAAATGTAATTATAATTTACGAATAGGAGTTCATCAATTAGGCTTAGAAATGATAAAACTTTTTGAATTAACCGATTGTGAAGTTAATGAAGAAGACTGAACTGTATTCAGCGTATAACTGTATCTTGTCACTGATAAGTAAACTATTGTGTAAAATATAAAGTGATAAGGAGACACATTTTTTCTGCTTCTAGATTATTATTATTAGATGAGACTATGAGAGTCTCATCAAATCTTATCATTGTCTACTACTCAACATTGGTTATATCTACTTTCTAACTATTTATCAATCTAATTGTAAATGAAAAAAATACTGAGTTTTACGCTTTTGTGTTTATGCATGAAAACTGCCATTTTAATTTTAAATTAATAATTTATAGACTACGGTAAATATCATGTATAAACAGTATTCTGTTCTTAAAATAACAATAGCAATCATATTTTTTTCATTCTAGTAGTAAGAAATAGAAAAATAATTACCTACTTCCGATATTTTTAAGATACGGATATTGTGATTTATTTCGAAAATCTTAAAATAGCTGTGTCTAAATAAAACCATTTCAAAATACAAGTTAGAACTCAAAATGTTGTAAATGATTTTGTATGTTACAGTGTGTACCTTATGTGTGATTGAAGCGCTATGAAATTATCACGCACATGACTAATGATTATTTTTTATATCATTGTTAATCCAGTCCAATCAAGACTTGACTACATCAGCTTATCAATACAGGCCTGACCTAGGAGTATATGAATGTGCCTGACTAACAACCAAAATATGAGAATCGTAAACTACTTATAAACAACAGCATTTAGAAAAGGAAAAATGTCGGATAAATCCGCCACGCAAAAATAACGTGATTTCCGTGGCATTTATGAGCTAGTTTACTATGGTGTTATATAACCTTGCAAAATATTTAAACCATGTAAATGTTAGTTACACAACATCGGCTCACGCGTAGAATTCTAAGAAATATTGGAAAAAGGATCTTTTCTGAACAACCGACATGAAAGTTGAGTTCGGCTCTTTCATGTATTTTGCGACACTCACGAACAAAGTCGCTGGTAAATTCAGATAGGTAAGTATTCCTAAATATTCCTTAACTATATCTTTAAAACACATAATTTGTTTGTTTTGTTACATTACAACGATATTAAAAAAATATTAATATAATAAGTTTTTACTATAATTGTATTTGATACAAGTAGTTACAATAAGTTGCTTGAACCTTAGTTAAATGAAGCATTTTTAAACATGATTTGTTTACAGTTACCAACAAACATATAAAAAAAAAGTTCAATGTGTAAAAACACGAGAAATTCCCGTACAAATATCTTACAGTATGACAAAGAATAAGTATACCTACCCGTTATTTGTCCTACGAGTGCTACATATATTACAACAATAGAATACCCTCACATTTGAACTACCTTAAAAAGTGTGGAAAACACACATAGTTCAGTGTGACTCAATGTGTAGACCAGGTGAACCGCCGATCTATGGAAGGTCGCGGGAAGCTGCTGGAAGCGGAAAGCTCAGGACCGATCAACGTGGATATATTTGGGGCAAGAGGCCTATACTCCGAACGCAGTTGGCGTTACCATACTACTTGGTTGAAAATGAATGGTTTTATTACGTCAATGGAGGAGCTCTTCTTAATACTTTACTGCCAGTCCATTTCGCCTTTTTTTCATTATGACATAATATTATGTATAAATATATAATAATCAATCACTGAGCAACCAAATTAATATACGTTAAACCGATATTTACCAATATTTTTGAGAAGTTCCAGTGACTGTCTGTGATTTGCATCATTAATTCCATCCCACTTAATGTCGCTTTCGGAGAATAATTGTTTAGATTAGAATGAATTGTGATCCCAAATATAAAATAATATAAAACTCCGTTCCATTTTTTTTTAACTGATACTAATATCAGTTCGATCTTCTAAGTATGTTTTTCTTATCTTTACGCTTTTAATGATATGATTTTTATGTTTATAAACAAAGTAAACCTATATATGGAATATCAAGCTTTGTAGCCGTTTTTATAGCAATCTATCATAATACAAAAGCAAATCAGTATTTGTTAACTGAATGTAATTTGGTGAACAACAATATAGTTCATTAGGTATTAAAGACAAATAAAATTATAATCATAATCCATTTTTTAGTTTGTCATAAGGCATGTACCAAGCGTGATCACAGATCTTGCGGTATTATTTTATAAGTATTTGAATACTATCAATCTTTGAGCAAACCCACATCTAGTAAAAGGTAAAGTTTAACATTGTTTACAAAACATATTATTATTTTTATCGATTTTTACACACGAACATTGTGATAGTGTGGCAAATTAGTGCATTTATGCATTGGGAATTTTATTGCCATAAATTGCTTAAACTGGTAAAATTAACCATGCTGGCTCGCATGCCACGTTATTCTTTAAGGAGCACATTTGATTTGCCTTACCTGCAGCAAGGACTTATTAGGGAACGCCATGCTTACCTAGCTGGATCTATAACTCTTTAACCTGAATTCAACAACAACCTTGACATTTTCCTTGACTCAAGTCATTACCCAGTTGTAAATGTAAACTGAAGGATCTTATTTCATGGCTTGGTGTTGTAAATCACAAATAAAGATTCCTGTTTAGTTAGAATAATATTATGTTTTTTCGACTTTTTTAAAACGACCGTTGCTACCAAAATTTTAAGACAATAAAAAGTACGTATATGCACCTAATAATAATGATTTTTCATGTTGGGTGATTAAGGATTAGGGCTGCAACAGCATAGTTAGCAGTGTGCACTACGTCAATAATGATAATTGAGTGTCTATTACACAAACCTGCTTAGGAATTTTTCAACTAAAATCCCTAATCGCTTTAGTCACAACTTGACATGCAAACGACGTACATGTGAACGCCAAAAATAATTATTGCTAATATTTTGTGTTTATATGATAAAACAATGCCTAAGTATGTTTTTAAAAAGTGCTTAATTATCAAGAACTAAAAATAAAACCCACGGCATCACTTTTCATTCGTAAGTACTATAAAATATATTTTTCATAAAAATTGCTGTTTGTTTTTAATCTTATTCGGTAGTGACGTCGAGTACTGGTCGCGTGATTGGTCGGTAATGCAGTGACGCGGATCTCGCCGTCTCGTTCGCGCTGCCGTTAAAACTTAACGTGCTGTTTCGTTCGGGTCGGTAATGCAGTGGCGCGGATCTCGCCGTCCCGTTCACGCTGCCGTGGGATCAGATTGTTTGATGCAAGTATAAGCGTACCGTATCTACCCTTTTTGTTTTAAACTAAGTAAAATCCTGCTTAGTAAGACATGTTAAGCCGATCGTCCTGGCGGTATCTGCAGTCATTAACATCCACCAAACCTCATTGGGCCCGCGTGGTGGCTCCCTATGCCATCCATAGGAGAAGCTTATGTCCCAGCAGTGAAGACATTAATGATTGATGACGATTTCCGACAGTGTGTATACAGTCAGCCCATTTAATTCATTATAATAATTTCAAAACAATAAGTTCTTTTAAATGTACGTATCCCTGGAAACAAACTTGGATCTGAACAATCATATTTGACGTGACAGATTTTGCCGCCTTCCTGTGACTTAAGTAATTTTGAAATTAAATTATTTGGAGTTTTTCCCACAGACTAAAGGTACAATTCCGCAATGGGCTGCAGGTGACAACCGCAGGCGACACTGAGGCTAGCGTCTGCGGCTGAACGTGCATTATATTAGTTGTGCAGCCGCGGCATGTCGCCGCGCTCGTAATCAATTTCATAGAGATCACAGAACAATATACTCTCTACGAGAGATAGAGATTCATAGAAACTAGTAGTGTTGCCTGTAGTCTGCAGCTGCGGTCTGTGGTCTGCGGTTCAGTTCGGAATTGTACCCTAAAAAAATAATAGGGAAATCCTTATTCCCTATTATTTTTTTACCAACGTTTTTTATAATGTCAAGAAATCGAAAGTTTCAGTTACATTAACGAATTCAAAAGTGTTTTCGAAATGCCATCCATTCCAAACAATACATTTATACCGGCACCGATGTTTTCGTATCACTGAGTCGATTCCCTAAGGACGGACACACGTCTACTGTGCGTCCTAATAGAATTTGAATCCTTTAGGAATGAGTTGCTTCTAAGTATGAGTGAGGTCGTGTCTTTTATTTGCATTAATTGAGATATAAGTTCTTTTTTTTCATATATCTAAGGGCAGATAATCTGTACAGTACCCTTACCACGAATCATTATCTTTGTATTGTTGAATTCGATCTCGTTACGCGTCATATGTCAAGAAATTTTGTATGGCATATGTTTAAATCTCGTAACGTCCGTTGTGGCGCTGTTCAAATTTCCATACAAAACCTTTGACGAGTATCGAAATCGAATTTAACTATTCGAATTCGATATTGGTTCATGTGTCATTGTGTTAAGGGTACAGTAGAAATTTCAACTTGATAATCAACGAGTTGGAATATATTAAAATCATTATTTCATTGATAAACTGCACGCGGAGCAGACGTCTGCTCCGTTTTCTCGCTTAACACAGCGCAGGCCCTTAAAAACATATTGAGAATAATATACTACTTAATATAATTTTTACACGTTTTGCGGCGGAAGCTATTTACTCACACGGATAAAACGCGTGCGTCTATTTCTACAATTTACATGCCATAAAAGCCTTCGGGAAAGATACTTTATTTATGTTATAGAAGATCACTAATGCCAACAACATCCCTAACTTAGTGTGAGTACACTAAGTTAGGGATGTTGGATGTGGATTATCGCCTCGGTTTTGAGTAAAACCGGGGCGATAATCCAACTGCGGCGACTGTCCGGCTTTTACCCTATGAATTTGCGTTTTTTAATCCACCCTAACTCCAAAATTCTTGAATAGATTTCAAAGAATCGAGTACCGTTACTCAGAACCTTATCTCATCATCCTGAGTGACACTGGCTATGAGTAATTTAAGAAAAAAACAGAATATCAAAGGTTGGGCGCCATTTCCAAAATTAAAACTATATAATAACAGTTCCAATGGGTTCAATGCAGGTACATGCTTGACAAAGTTTTCATCTTTCACTTGAAAAAACATAATACTTGTGAGTAAAAAAACAAAAAATATCTACATTATAATTAAAAAAAAAAATAGTCCAAGGTACCTTTAAAAAGAAAGACTACCTCTAAACCAAAAGAATAATAAGTGCATTTTTACAGAACGGCCGTAGTCTTAAATTTTAATATTCACTTAGCGTATTTAATATTTTAAAGGATTTATTTTCTCCTGTTTGAGTTTTGGATCACCACTCATTTTGTACTTTATACAAGGAACTATAAAAAAGAGAAAGGTTTCGGAACGCTTCAATGTATGTAAGTTAGGTGGCGTCAGTCGTTTGAGTCATTTCACTTACGATGATAGTGTTCACACTATCGATAAATAGAATTAAGGCCTATCGATATCTACGGTTTTCAAAGTTACGATTATATCTATAGATTCAATGATTAAAATCTTTGTATAAACAATCAAATTAAACTATTACGTCCTATTTACGTGCAAAATTACTATGCCAAGCTCAAAGGATTTTTCGTATTTGTAACTAAGGCCTATTTGTTTACCTCATTCTGAGAAAAAAAGAGAGACGGAGACCTTAATCATCCTGGAGTGTGGGTGTGTATCCCAGGATCATCTACGTATATTTTTATGCGAACTTTGTTTGTTTATCTGTTTTTACGACCAGCCTGCACCAATTTAGATGAATATTAGCATGGATTAGTATAGAGATAAAAAGAACTTCCGAGAAGGACAAAGATTTACTTTTGGTCGCATAAAAATCTTGAAGTAGGTCAAATAGAGTAAATGTTTGTATGAAGATCATACCAATTAACAATAATAATATCTTGATAAATATTTTTATACTATTGCTCAGATAATATAGAACTACTAGCTGTCCCAGCGAACTTCGTACCGCCATAAAAATAGGGGTTGGTGGTAGAAGGGTGAAATTTTAGGGTTGTATGTATTTTTGTATGATGTCTCATAAAAAAATAAAAACAATAAATTTTGTCCGAAGGAAAAACATCATTTAAGGTTGGACCACCCTTAACATTTAGGGGGATGAAAAATATCCGTTCGTCCGATTCTCAGGCCTACTGAATATGCATATAAAATTTCACGAAAATCGGTCGAGCCGTTTCGGAGTACTTCAATTACGCACACCGTGACACGAGAATTTTATATATTAGCCTATGGGGAAGATGAAGAACTATACTACCGATGAAGATAACTGACACTCGTTTCTCTATGTAAGAGTACTAGTACTCACTAGCAAGAGTATTATCTTATTTTAGTAGGAACGCCGACTACGACTACGTCACAATACATACAAGAGCAGTAGCGTAACTCAGCCGTTTTCTTGACCCTACGTACCTACCTGATACCTACGACTGAGCGGAGCCCTAGGGTTGGTAACTACAAAATGTTCGCCGCCATTATTAAATATTTTATATTAGTGCCGAGTAGTATTGCCCACGTTACGGAATCGAAACGGAGGCAGACGGCGCGGGCGGCGCAGCCCAGCTAACTTAACTCGGCCAACGACCAGTCTCGACGGCGCGCGACGTGGCATTGCATAGATTTGTCTTGCCAAGATTGGTTAGCGGTCGTGCAAATGACGTTTGTCTGTGTGCGTGCATCGATTCGGGCGCGCGCTAGTATGAAGTAAAAGTACTACTCTTGTATGTATTGTGACTACGTACTGGAAAGAAATTAACTGGGAGGAATCGTCTGCACATAAATAAGAGAGGAATGTCTGAGAAATAAAAAATGTGACAAACGCCCCTATGGTTCATTTAATGGTGTGTGGTTACCACAACACCAACAAAGATGTCATATTTTATGCTCATTGCCGTCTCATATAGGTAA